ACTTTCACATGTCCCCTATCTATTTCAGTCAAAAAGAGAAATTCGCATTTTGGAAAAAGTTCGAGAAAATCGACTTTAAAGTTTCACCCAAATTTTCCAGAGGAAAATCGCTTATTTTGTGGTTTGGGGAAGAAATCAGAAATCAAAAGTGCTGTAACAGGCAGAGTTTTCACGGTAGGAACCTGAAATTTGGAACACAGCAACTTCCAACCAGTCTGTGCCTGCAGTGCAAATTTCAGCTTTCTATCTCTGATAGTTTCCCCAGGGCAGCCTGTCAAAGTTTTGGTCTTCACCCCTACCAGTGCAACTAGACTCTATAGGAAAACTGCCGACCCCCACCCCTCCGCTAAAAAGGCCATAACTTCGCCAATTTTGACCCGAGAGGTATAATTTTTGTCGCAAACTAAACTTTAACATGTCCCCTATCTATTTCAGTCAAAAAGAGAAATTCGCATTTTGGAAAAAGTTTCGAGAAAATCGACTTTAAAGTTTCACCCAAATTTTCCAGAGGAAAATCGCTTATTTTGTGGTTTGGGGAAGAAATCAGAAACCAAAAGTGCTGTAACAGGCAGAGTTTTCACGGTAGGAACCTGAAATTTGGAACACAGCAACTTCCAACCAGTCTGTGCCTGCAGTGCAAATTTCAGCTTTCTATCTCTGACAGTTTCCCCAGGGCAGCCTGTCAAAGTTTTGGTCTTCACCCCTACCAGTGCAACTAGACTCTATAGGAAAACTGCCGACCCCCACCCCTCCGCTAAAAAGGCCATAACTTCGCCAATTTTGACCCGAGAGGTATAATTTTTGTCGCAAACTAAACTATAACATGTCCCCTATCTATTTCAGTCAAAAAGAGAAATTCGCATTTTGGAAAAAGTTTGGAGAAAATCGACTTTAAAGTTTCACCCAAATTTTCCAGAGGAAAATCGCTTATTTTGTGGTTTGGGGAAGAAATCAGAAACCAAAAGTGCTGTAACAGGCAGAGTTTTCACGGTAGGAACCTGAAATTTGGAACACAGCAACTTCCAACCAGTCTGTGCCTGCAGTGCAAATTTCAGCTTTCTATCTCTGATAGTTTCCCCAGGGCAGCCTGTCAAAGTTTTGGTCTTCACCCCTACCAGTGCAACTAGACTCTATAGGAAAACTGCCGACCCCCACCCCTCCGCTAAAAAGGCCATAACTTCGCCAATTTTGACCCGAGAGGTATAATTTTTGTCGCAAACTAAACTTTAACATGTCCCCTATCTATTTCAGTCAAAAAGAGAAATTCGCATTTTGGAAAAAGTTTCGAGAAAATCGACTTTAAAAATAATTTTTGATTTGAAATTTGAATTTTGAATTTGTAAAAATAATTTCGAATTTGAAATTTGAAATTTGAAATTTGAATTTGTAAAAATAATTTCGAATTTGAAAAAATAATTTTGAATTTGAAAAAATAGTTTCAAATTTATTTTTTATTTTTGTGACTGGTGTATTCAAGACTATGAGAAAAGGGCTACATAAACAAGCCTGGTCACTCTGAGCATTGGTTTCCTTTGGAGACTACATTTTATTGAGCGGCTGCATAGCCTCTTGTGGCTGGCTGCCAAATTTCGGACAGGCCATATCCGGTACCTTAACTGCCTTGAATAAAACGTTAAAAATTAACGATTACAATATATAACTTTATATAACAATATATAACAATATATAAATTTAACTCCATCCTCATGTGGTCATGACAATCAAATTTGCGGCATTGTGGGATCTTGGGGTGGGTCAGACGTGATGCACTAATGGTAAAAAGGGGCCGGGTAATATCACATTGCAATATGTTGCATGTGCCTCTAAAGCTCACAAAATGAGTTACATAACTGGGTCTCTGTTCATGTTCGGGGAATTGAAACACAAGGTCAATGAGTCAAGGCAATTTTCGGATGACATTTCTGGCAGGGAAGTGTGTTTCTGATCACGGAAGGATTCCAAATTGATTAGTGATTTAAAGCTGATATATAAATTTGCTTGGACAAAATCGACAATTTCGATTTACCGACCACATGACAAAATGAATTGAAATGAAATGGAGTTTTACGTCCTACTTTTTTCACCCTTTTAATGAGGCAAGGCCATGGCCATACAGTGTGCAATAAGAGAAATTTTGCCAGGATAGCAGCATTGATTTACTTTTATTTTCGATTTGCAACTTGCACAACCCCCGGTTTAATGTCCCATCCGCACAACTAGACGCCTTTTCCTCGCAGCCATTCTAACCTGTATCACTGATAGAGGGACAGCGGGTTGAAAAATCCGAAGGTATTATCTAGACCCATGCCGGGATGGGACCCTGGACCTTCAGATTAGCAAAAACGCCTATAACATACTGAGCCAACGCGATTGTTATATGAGTTATTATTTTTTCAAATTCGAAATTCAAATTTCAAACTCAATATTCAAATTTCCAACTCAATATTCAAATTTCAAATTAGAAATTCAAAAATACAAAATCATGTGGTATTTGAGCTTCCGTACTATTCTGCCAGATGTTGCTAGTTGTTAACCAAAATCTGGTTCCTCTCAGATATTGCCAGTAACAAGGTTCTCCTGTTGTTGAAACAACGCTGATTTTATTTTCAGCCTTGTATTTCTTTCAGGGATATCTCTATCAAATATCTTTTACGAGTAGTCCTATGATAAAAAAAGGAAAATATGCATACTATTTTGAGGTCGTATGATTTTCATATATCTAATCTAAAATTAAACTTCCCTCATGGCTATCAGATTGGTTTTTTTTTTGACTGTAACAAACTTATCATCATTTCACAAAATAATATGCACCATGCATATCCAGGTATATTTCGTTAAAATTGTAATATTATTAGTTGTTTATTTGTATTTGGTCAGTGGATATGAGCCAAGATTTTCAGGTGAGAATTTTCTCTAACTATATATAATATTATGTTGATAATCCATCACATGCCTTTAAGAAAATGAAAAACTTGTGTGGACAAAATGAATAACACAAGACGTAGCTAAACTTGATTGTTTGTGGAGGGGTGGGAGGGGCAAGTAATATATTCGGAGGGGCAATTGTAAGTGGGTGAGGTCGTGGATCGCGGAAGTAGGGAAATAAAGTATTCCGCGGATCGCGGGAATATTTAAATAAGATTTTTGGAGTATAAAACTAATTGCAGTGATGATAAAGATCAGCCGTCAGAATTTTTTGAAAGGGTTGTGATGGATCCTCAGATACCTGTGAGGGTGCCAGACATCATCGAGAGTAGAATTTAATATTCGGTCAAGGTTCTGAAGCGATAATTAAACGAATCGGCGAAGGTGATAGCGTTAAACTGTCAATGGTACGACGAGTCCAATAGTCCAGAATCAAGACTCTTATTAACACACTTGCAATTATTTTTCTAGTGCTATAAACTTATACGGCCCAAGTCTGAGCTTTTCCAACACTGTTTTTAATGCAATTTTCGACCCTTTATTTCCTTTTCACTGTCATAGATTTAGAAGATTTTGAAGGTATTTCATCATGATATTATGTGTACCCTGCCCTATATACGACGGCATCGATGTGACTTTTCTGACATAACTTTTTGTTTCAGATATAGATATTAAAGATTCTGATGGAAACACTATCCAAATCCACAATACATTAACCTGTTATGCAAAAAAGGTACACTGATGTGAGATGTACCGATTCCGGAAATTACGTGACACCTTTAACTTACCATTATGGAATCAAACCTATGGTATTTCAAGAACAACATAATTGTACTAAAGACTATCCCAGCGTGCTTCCGATAGAATGTTGTATACCTGATAGTAACGACTGTACATTTGAGGATACCAACCATATCATACAAATTTGGAAGATTTGTGGCTATTCAAGCAGTTGTAAAAGTCTTATTGGTGGCCGAACCGATATATCAGAAATGAGAGATCATAACTGTGGTAAGAAGTTTATAAAAGAGAGTGACATTACTACAAGTCAGTATTCTTATCTTAGATATGCTTGTTTACCAGGTGAGTATACTAACTATCGTGAAGTTATTACTCAACTTTTTTACGGTAGTCCCTGTAGACATCTTCCCAAACTTGGTTGGTTGGTATATTTCGTTGAACGGTTATTGTTAGGGTAGATTTCGGGAAAGGGGGGTTGATATGGAATTCACTAATGTACAGGCCTAGGATGAAATACATTTGTCATTGATAAGTTGGGGGAGGGAGTATAGTCTTAACCGACAAGCCATTTTGATTATGCTAATCTTCATTGACATTGGATCTGAAATTAGAAAGAAAAAGAACTGATGAAAGCTGTACACCGATTGGGATCAAGACTTTATTCTTTGACGAGTGTTGACCACTTTCATATTCTGTATTCATATGGGAAATGCATACAGACAATTTACATATATAGCTCTGAACATTCTAATATTAATTTCCAATTCGTTTTTCAGAGAAAATGGAAATGAATTTTGATGGTGGAAATGGTAAAGGGAAGGCGTTGTTATTAAAAACTAAAGAAGCGGCCTACAACACTGGTATCAAATTACAGTGTCATATTACTACAGATAATAATAACGGTTTATTAGTTCAGTTTGTCGATGTTAGACTTTGTGAAGGGATTACAGGAGTCTGTGATCAAACTCTGACAATAATTAAGAATGGTGAAGAAGCTGGAAAAAAGAACAGTGGATCAAAATTTGGGTTGGAAACTTGGTTTGGATCGCCTGGTCAACCAAACGTGACAATAACTTTTGAAAGACAGTCCCCAACAACCAAATATAATATATTACTTTATATAACTAGCATGCAAGGTGAGTGGTGCGCGGTAGGAAACTTGTCAGATCACATTGGAGACGAAAATACCCGAAAAAAAGAAATCCTAACCTAAGTTTGATTAAATTGCTGATCGTCATGATGACATCAGAAAGGTGTTTATTGACACTCACAAGAAAATTCAGGCTAACAATAAAAATTAATAAAATTAAGTAGATAAATTAGACATTCTCGAGAAATTTCTCTCATTGAACACTGTCTAGGGTGTAGTCTGTATCGATACAGAATTTAATGACGCATCGTTTGATTATTTTTAGGATCCAGTGACATCGAAATCAAATGTGATCAACCTTTACCAATAACAACAACTACAACCACAACAATAGCAACAACATCAACCTCAACAGCAGTACCAACAACAACAGCAGAACCACTAACAACAACCACAACAACAACAGGTCCTACATCAACAACTTATACCTTGACTGCAATAGTCACCTTTTTGTATGATGGAAGTTTGTAAATGAAGCGATTTGATTGGTGTGTACGCTATCGAATACCGCCAATTAGAGGCTTCAACAGAAAGTCAGTAAACACAAAACGATAATGTTTCACCGGCTGCATTCCGTGATACAAGAATAGTGGATAATGCAGTCAAGGTATAAGCGAAGATCGTAATACATTGTGAAGATTTCTATATAATATGAGATGAACAAATTCTACATGAAGGATGTTTTTGAATGCTTGTCGTGAGGGTCGGAGAGAAATGTAGGCCTACCTTTTTTACTAAAAGCAACACGCATCCCTTTATTTTTGTAGCAATGCCATTTCTTGAGGAAAACTCTATCGAATGATAACAGCCTTGCCTTTTGATGAACGATTGAGAAAATTTGCCATTAAGTTTTCTAAAGTCAGTTTCCATTCAGTTCCTGTCATTTTCATCTGTTTGTGCTGCCCTTCACGAAAATCGCATATTTCTCTCTGAGCCTCTCTTTGTCAAATTCATTTGTCGGGGTATGTAGTTAGGGTCAGGATAGGGCGTAGGGTGGTCATTTTTGAATGAAATTTTTAATGAGGAAAATAAACCAATCGACCTGTGATATCAAGGGTTAAATACCATCTGAATGACTCATAAACCTTGATAGATCCTGATATGAAAAATTTATTTTGTAGAATCCACAAGACGATTACCTGGAGTGACAGAAAAAAGTGAAGATCACAGATTAAAAGAACAGTTTATAAAATGTAGGTTTATTTATTTTTTTTTTTAGTAGAGTTTTTAAGTTAGACTCTGAGTTAGGTCCGATCAATGGCGGTGCAAACCTCTCGAGACTGGGGATACATATTATGGGTAGACTAATTCAATGGGGGCACACTGTCGAAGCTGAATTCAAATTGCGGCAACTCTGTTGAGGCGTCATAATTGCTAGAAAAATTTCGAAATATTGAATTGATTTGGTGCATTCTGTCACATATTTTGGGGCAAAGCCGTACAAAAATCTTTTTTTTTAAATTTGTTGGGGTACAATTGAGGATGCAAACTATTTTTCTAGGAGGCATATCCCTCTCTTTATTGTAGATGGGGAGATAGCTGCGGCAGGAGTAGCTGGTTTTCTTTTAACATCTTTTATTTGTCTCTGCACATTTAAATATAGAAGGTAAAGAACTTTAACAGCAATATTTTTCAAGTTAAATTTTTTAGATAAGTTAAGGGACACATTTCTCTAGATTTTGGTGTATATTTTTAATAAATCGGAGCACAAAAATTGTCGACCTACGAAATAAACATAGTGTCCGTTTAAGATAGAGTTACAGTACGTGTCGATTTTTAATTCAAAAATTAAAAAAGAATTAGTTGACTTGGTATTGGCCAGTGTTAACCTTTCTCTTGTAGTGAGTCCATTTTCACAATGTCAAGCTATTACGATCATCGTCTTATACCTTGACTCCGATGGCCACCTTTCTTGTGTTATAGAAGTTTGTATATTCAGCGATTGATTGGATTGTATGCTAGTTATGCTGTTATTGATAGATTAATTAATTATTGAATGATTGATTTATTTTTTTTAGAAACAAGCGAAATAAAGTCAAGATCACGTTAAACCAGGTAGAAATGTCTGAATATCCTAGACTGGGACCAGTTGGTGAAACCAGTCAAGTACATGATATTAAAGGTATACTACCTCTTAGGATGACCAAAAAATTAAAAACCTGGCCAAATGAGGATTTACCAGGTAAGGTAACTATAATATACAACAAAACCCCTTTATAATCCAATACATCCGTAAAACTAAAAAATAATTCATTGAACTAAATAGTTTTGAAACATGCTTAGAAGTGTTTTTCATTAATTATTGAGTTAAATGGATATATCGTTTATATAGAGATTCTGATGAATAATATAATGTACTCTTATTGACCATGTTTGAGACTATAAATTTAATGTTCATTCTAAGAGGTATTATTTCTTTTAAAATATTGATTAAAATTACGGCCGTGGCAATTTGCACCGTAACAGTACATCATATAACCACCCCCACCTAACCCTATAAACGTCATTTAATAGCATTATTTTAAATGAAAATGGATTCTCGCTCAAGAGAAAAAAAACAATCCATAGCCTATGAACAACATGAATAAAGGTATCTCATTTACTGCAGACAACGGTACGGCAAAGATGAAGACAATACGCTCATTGATGGTGCAAATAGCCATTGCCTAAATTGATGTCAGATAAAAAAAAAATCCATTATTGTATTCTATTTATAACATTTAGAAGTTCTTATATCTATCAAAGATTCTAAAAGTGTAATTTTGTCTATAATGTCAAATGAATATTAAATTGTTGATGTTTTTCTTGTGATTAGGAAGGTTACGACTTCTCTGAACTCCAATAGATACAGATGGCGCTGAATTGACTAATATTAATAATAATGAAACAGTTCATGTTTTACAGACCATGCTTCACCATTTACGGGAGTTGATTTGGGTCTTGAATATGTCATAATTTTTCGGATGTACTGGCACTTTACGGATATTGCAATTATGGACCACATTTGAAGGCTCAAATGTTAGAAGTGAGCCGTGAACAATGTTTCTGATTGGCTTAGCTAAATAAGTTTCTGAGACTAAGGTACGATTGGTCGAAAGGATGGCGAACATGTCCCTTAATTACACTTTTATCATAGAATTGAAAATAATGGTGTTTATTTGACCTAAAATGGAAAAATATGACACAAAATTTAAATGTCCACACAATCAATGGAATTCTTCAAATAGATCGCATTAAGGGAGTTACCTCCCTTGCCCAAGAAAACTGCCTTTGTAATTCTAGTAAAAATGAAATGAATGGAGTATTACATCCTACTTTCTGCACCTAATTGGGCTAATGAAGACGGGCAACGCCATGCAGTGTACAATGGGGGAAATTTTGCCAGGACAGCGTTATCAGTCAACTAGATTTTTCGATTTCCAATTGTCGAGGGATCTTTGCATAGACACAAGCATTACCTCAAAAATATCCATCTAGGCTAACTAGGAATTGGTCTATTCTTTTAAAAACATTTATTTGAATTATCATATATAGTTATTATGGTGTTATTATGGTTTATTTTTATTAACACGCAATATTATTACGGGGCTAAAAACTTTATAAATGGTTCAGGGCGTGATAAATACCCTCCACCTTTGCTCTGGGTAAGTATTCTTATCGAAATATTACTTTAAATAAATGAATAGATAATTTTGTGATATTTGCGTAAATTGGTAAAATAAAATATACATATTATAAAAACGTTGAAAGCTTATATGAAAAATTATATTATTGTATACAACTTTGCCGCAGTGGACTATAGGACATCGTTCTACAGTAGAGTGGTCTCCCCATCCCCAGAATGTCCCAATTCGTGAAGGGATCCTCTTAAAGTTTCAGTTGCAAGTGATTCTAAAACTGCTTTAAGTTGTTCTGTAAATTCTGGAGTGCCTGGTTTATATGTAGCGTCTTCACCGTTTTCGCCACAATGCTTTAGAATTTCGACAGCAAAATCGGAATGGTCTTCTAATTTCTTGAGCAGAATTTGTATCAGCGCAGCTCTGGATGAGGCGTTATCCTCATCTACAATGTCAAAAGATATCACACTTGTTTTTTTCTTTCTCCGGCGTCGTTTCCGTTCAGCCACCTGAGAGACCGAATCTGCACTCTCAATATAATCAGTAACAATAGAAGGTTGTCTGTTTCCACCAACTGGTCCAAGTCGAGGATATTTAGGTATTTCTAATGGACTTAACTGTGTAGTATTGTCATCCATATGTCGTTTGTTTCTGGAAATAATAAATCATGTGGAATCGATATTATAATAGGCAGTCGGTTAATCATCAAAAATATGAAAATAGTACCGAACTCTTAAAGTTCATGGAAACTTAAAATGAAAAATAATATTTACAAAATATCCTGATCCATTGGTAACAGAGCTAAAGCCTATACCCTAATAAAACCAAACAATGTAACCTGCAGTGTCTAACTGAAAAGCTTTCAACCATTAATGTCCCTTTTACAAGTCTACACAAACGCTTCGAACTTCTCGAAATATAGACATGAGAATATGTTCTACACGTAGAACTTAAGTAGGTACGCAGGCTGACAATTGGTCAGTTGTTGTCTGAAAATCACATAGAGTAACAACTCTGAGTAACAACAAGATTCAAGTTCTGTTTTAATATTTCTGAAATCAATATTACAATAATTTACAAATCAATCAATAATATTTCTTCTGGCGGATCTATATAGGCCTGTACTCCTGATACCACTAAAATTTTAACACTATCAAAATAAATAAAGCAGGTTGGCATGGGCCAATACAAAATAAATGTTTTGTCAACTTATGGTGCGGGCACACGATCGGTTTTGATCGGCGATTTTGTCGCCGACTAGAGCCTTCTCAAGAGTTTCACCGACCGGCTGCGGGAACACATGAGTCGCTCGTTTTGTCTTGCAGACAATACGGCAATCGGCGACAATTATCAAACTGGTTTGATCCTGTCGGCAACGCGATATACTTGTCGTGGAAGCGCGGGCAAGCGTGAAATTTAACTCAAGATTTGAGTCGGCGACAAAAATCGGCGACCAAGACCGTTTGTGTGTCCGCATTCTTTACAATTTTGTTCAATGAGTTAAATGGATTATAAATCAGCACATACTGCGAAATTAAGGTTAATTGAACGCATCACTTTCTAAATTGCAATTAATTCTAAGATTCTAGCAGCAAATTAAGCTGTCCATATAGCAATTTCAAATTGAAAATCCGATAGCGGTTCATCTGAAACTTGATATAAAGTCTAATATCTGATCAATGGCTCATTACGAGAATAAAACATAATTTCGCTTAACAGAACCTTGTAGTTTTCTTTTACCTCAAATGTTTATATCTACAGTGACATATTAAAGATGCTAATAATATACCAGCTACTCCTGCTCCCGCTATCTCACCATCTACAATAAATACATATTAGAGTGAAATTCTTTGAGCCATGTCCCGGCTCCTCGTTTACATCTTCACAATATCAAGCTATTTAGATCTGCGTCTAATACCTTGACTGCAATAGCAATATGTCTTGTATCACGGATGTTTGTTATTGCAGCAATTTGATTGGATTATTATGCTAGCTAGTAAGTCAATCAGAATTCTCGACTGCTGCATGTGTTTTTGAGGGGTATGATTGGTTGTATACGCTAGTGTACAATCCAGTCAAATCGCTCCAATTACAAATTGATACAAGAATAGTGACTATTGCAGTCAACGTTCGTTCTAGTTTGACATTGTGGAGATATCTCGTCTCATAAGATAACGGGCTGCAGAAAACAGAAGTATACAGATTAATTCAAGACCTTGACAGATGTTTTAGACGAGAGGAATCCCTTTCAGGGATGCGAAAGAGGTTTTTTAAGCTTTCTACAGAGTGTTTTCAATTAGAGCCCCCTCCCTTAGAGCTTAACCTAAAATATATATAGAGACACAAACTAAAGTGATTCTGAACTGGTATTTTCTTAAGTTTCTCTCGGCGGCTCCCATCTGCCTGTACCACAGCCTGCATTCTTGATGATGTCAGAAAATAGCAAAACAGCTGAGAATCAAATTCCGAGCACTTCGGTTGTCTCTTTTCGTAAGTCGTTGAAACTTGGTATATCTTAGTTGTTCAACGTACAATTGCAATATTTAATCAGATTTTCGTGGTTCCTGCAATTCCACCAGAAATAAGCACTTTATAACGTCAATAATATCTAAAAAAAATTCCATATATAATCGATAGTGACGCCATAAAATGCTTAGTTTTGAAATGGAATTACAAGAACCACAGACGTCTGACAAATGGTGCGAATCTATCGATGTCCTCGGTGCACATAAAATATCAAGGAAAACTTCACCAACTCTTTCAGGAAGGTTATGCTTGAATAAAAGATCTATATAGCTCAGAGTCTTACATGAAAACATGTTAAAATAAAAATTATAAGCCTACATTTGATTAGTTGTTCTTTTAATATGTGATCTTCACTTTTTTCTGTCACACCAGGGAATCTTGATGTGGATTCTACAAAATACATTTTTCATCTCAGGATCTATCAAGGTTTATGAGTCATTCAGATGGTATTTGACCCTTGATATCACAGGTTGATGTGCCTATTTGACTTACCAATGAGGACTACCCAAGACCTGTTGTCAAGCTCTACACATATGCTCCGATGGATGGTTTTGATGGATTGTCGCTTGGGAGAGAGTCGGACAGAAATTTACCGTTTTCGTGGAAGACAAGCGTTTTTAACTTCTTTCGGCTTTCATAGATTGAAAGAGTATGTCAAACTTAATGAAGTCGAATTTCCATTTCCTCTATTCCTTGTAAATCTGCAGGGTTAGAGTTAGTCTTTCCTTAAATAAATCGGTCGAAATTTGAATCCTCAGTCCATAGATTGCAAGAAAAATAATAACCTTTAGTCTAATAGTTACCTTCAGAAAGTGGATTTGGTGATTGAGATTTTTCTGCATGCCCTTTTTCTGCTTTGGTAGGACCTGTTGCTGGTGCTCTTGATGGAGTTGTTGTTGTTGGTGGTGCTGTTGTTGTCGTTGTGGTCGTTGTGGTTGTAGTTGTTGTTATTGGTAAAGGTTGGTCACATTTGATTTCGATGTCACTGGATCCTAGAAATATTCAAACGATGCGTCATTATCTCGATCAGGCCTACAAACAACATCTTGAAGTGTTGAATGAGACAAATTTTACTAGAAAGTCTGATTTTCTACTACATTTGAAGTGAGCTGAGCTAAATTTGGCTGTGAGAAGCTTTTCTGAAGTCGTCCCGACGATTAGAGAAAGTTGTGAGGCAAAACTGGTTTTCGAAATTTTCAAGGAGCGACGCACCTATCTACTACTGTACCTTTTAACTTTTTATTCAGGTTCTTGGACTGATTTTGTAGATGGGTTAATAAAAGCCACGAAATTAGGTTTGTTTGTATAATTTTGGCAATAATAATTACGAAACTTTAGGAATTCGGCCTGTAAAAACAAGATTTATGGTCAAATTCTTAACTTACTCTACTTAACTTAACTTAAGTTATTTATCGATCAGCAAATAGTGAAAATTATGTAATTTTTCTACACCATTTTCTTAAAGGCTATCGGAAATTTGATTGGCTGTCATGAATTGTCACACTTACATACAGTCAGACTGCTGGTGGATTGTGAATACGCCGTAAAAATCACTGTCCATGGCGTGAACTATCATTTTAAGTAATATTTAACCCCCAGTATTCTACAAGAAATGAAAACAAACCTTTCCAGGTTCAACCAGACACGATTCTGGGTTATATTTACTGAGATTAAATACATAAAGCACATGATTCTATCGCTCACCCTTCGCTTGTTATATAAAGTAACATACATGTATTTGGTTGTTGGGGACTGTCTGTCAAAAGTGAATATAATTTCTCTTTTTTTTCCGAAATTTTCATCTCCATTGTGATCTGACAAGTTTTCTATAACCGCATGTCACTCACCTCTCATGCTAGTTATATAAAGTAATATATTATATTTTGTTGTTGGGGACTGTCTTTCAAAAGTTATTGTCACGTTTGGTTGACCAGGCGATCCAAACCAAGTTTCCAACCCAAATTTTGATCCATTGTTCTCTTTTCCAGCTTCTTTCCCATTCCTAAATATTGTCAAAGTTTGATCACAGACTCTTGTAACCCCTCCACAAAGTCTAACATCGACAAACTGAACTAATAAACCGTTATTATTTTCTGTAGTAATATGACACTGTAGTTTGATACCAGTGTTGTAGGTCGCTTCTTTAGTTTTTAATAACAACGTCATCCCTTTACCATTTCCACCATCAAAATTTACTACCATTTTCTCTGAAAGAATTAAAAAAACTGGAATTTCAGGAGTGTATGTGATATTTGTCTGTATTTCTGAATTGCATTTATTCCATGCACAATTGAAAAAAAAAGCAAATGGAAATCGCCTCGTCCAAGAACAAACCCTTGATCCCAATCGATGTACAACTTTTCATCAAAATATGTACTTCCCACTGGATTACGACACTGAGCACACAGTAAGACCAATAGGATTAAATACACCATACTGTAGGCATAGCACCCTATGATTGTTCGGAGGGGCAAGTAATATATCCGTAGGCGCATTAGTGTATGGTGTTAGTTGCAGAAATGGAAATGGTCAGTTGTTAGAATTCTTTCGTGGAGCAATCTATCTTTTCGGGGCATCCCCCCCCCCCCTCCCCCTTTGACCCCCTGTAACAACGGCCTGTTTTGTTGTCTCATTTGATACAATCAGCAATCGAGCAAGCAAGATAGTCCATAACCATTATGGGTGTCTACAAGAAAATTTCCCTCATGTCTATAAGCAGAAGATGATAGTTACATATTCGAAAAATGACGAACTTGTTCATAGCAAGCAAAAGATAATCTGTATAAAATCCCTCCTATTGGGCAAGTTGTTATTTATCTTTTTTCAGATCAGAACAGAAGCAGAAGGAAAATACCAAGAAGATCTACACCAATTTATTCCAATTTCTCAATAAAGTATTTGATCCATCCTAGGCCTATACATTTGGGAGAATCAACCCCTCCCTTCCCGAAATCTAATTTCTATAATCGTAATCTCTATCTATTTATGCCATACACAGTGAAGTGTGTGTTTTGGTACTAGCGCACCACGAATGACAGGATGTCCAGATAGACAGACGGTAGCTACCGTTAAAATAGTTCTGGAAAACGTTTAGCAACGGAATATGGATTTTTATATGTTAGTATACTCACCTGGTAAACAAGCATATCTAAGATAAGCATACTGACTAGTAGTAATGCCACTTTCTTTTATAAACTTCTTATCACAGTTGTGATTTTTAACTTCTGTTATATCGGTTCGGCCACCAATAAGACTTTTACAATGGCTCGAATAGCCACAAATCTTCCAAATTTGTATGATATGGTTGGTATCCTCAAATGTACAGTCGTTACTATCAGGTACACAACATTCTATCGGAAGCACGCTGGGATTGTCTTTAGTACAATTATGTTGTTCTTGAAATACCATAGGTTTAATTCCATAATGGTAAATTAACGGCGCTACGTAATATCCGGAATCGGTACATCTCACATCAGTGTACCTTTCTGCATAACAGGTCAAGTTATTGTGGATTTGGATAGTGTTTCCATCAGAATCTTTAATTTTTATATCTGAAACAAAATAAAAGTGATGCCTTATCGGTGTTAACGCATAGTAAAGTACAATTACACATTTTATCAAACTTAAAATTGAAATTAAAAGGAGTTTTACATCATATTTTGCTGGTCCAGACTGTGCTAAAGAAGACGGAGTACATGCACTGAAATCATGAAGACTATGACATTAGCTTCAGGCCCGTAGCCAGATTTGATTGTTCAGAGGAGCAAGTAATATATCCTCCGAAGGGGTAATGGTGAATGGTATTTTGATACAGTAATGGAATTGGTCAGTTGTCACAATTTTTCAGGGTGGTAATCAATTTTGTAGCCCTGTAGCTGCGGGCCTGATTAGCTACATGCTTTTCTTTAGATTTCAGTTGTTGGATCTTCTAAGGGCACAACTAGTAGCATTCACTGCATTCATGGCTCCAGATTATTGTCCCATCTTTATGGGCTTGTAACGCTCTGCCTGACCTTCATCACTCGCATAGTGAAATCGTGTTGAAAAATCCCAGTGGGCACGGTTTGTTTGCAAAATAATTATATTATTTTATTTGAATGTTATTTCTAGTCTTCTTGACTCCTCTTACACTGAAACTGTCACATCTGTACTCATTCGTCCAGTGAAAGATTTGTTAGTTTCAAGTTTCAATGAACAAAGTTCAAAACCTAGAAATTTTCATGAAAATTTGGAAAAAAATAGTTTTACGTTTGTTGATAGGCCTATCTCTTCTGTTTCCTTACCATGCATTTCATTTCTCATTAAGGGACAGATTCGATATTTTCGGGGGCTGAATTTGGTCTTGAATATATTATGTAAATAGTCTTCAGAAGTACTAGAAATGTACGAAAATCGCATAATTCCATTTAAAAATACCTGAAAGTAAGAGTATCACTTACTATTTCTATATAGATTATGTCTTTTTCTATGACAGGGTATTCCTAAAAGACGAGTCGTCCTTTTAACTTCAAACGTGGATAATTCTAGATACACATGTACTTGAAGGCTCAAATTTCGATGGTTAAATGTGAACACTATTACTGATTAGCTTGGTTAAAATATTCCCGTTTCTGAGATTAAGGTACGATTGGTCAAACGGGTGGTCAATCTGTCTCTTTAAGGGGTATACATCTTGTGCAGTCTAGTACGTAAGGGTATACGAGAAAATTCTCACCTGTAAATTTTGGCTCAAATCCACTGACCACATACAAATTAACAACTAATAATATTACAATTTTAACGAAATATACCTGGACATACATGGTGCATATTATTTTGTGCAATGGTGATAAGAGAGTGTAGGTCACAAAAAACTGATAACAATAAAGGAAGTTTGATTTTAGATTAGATAGAGAAAATATGACAACTAATCATTCCAAACACAAGCATATTATTATCAAACTCGTTAAGGATAACAACAGAGATATCCGTATATAAAATTTAAAAAAGAGGAAGATTAATATTGGCCGAGGATATTCGCCACCCGGGTGGCAAACAATTATTCGCCACCCTCATTTTTTATTTGCCACCCCTTTTTAAAACTTTAATTTCTCTGAAGACTGACATTATTAGCTGTGAAGGCTATAGCGTTACATGCATTATAATGTTTTTTATGTTCATTAGAATCGCTTATTTGCAATTTCTTTCAGAAAAATGTACGAAAATAACACCTACTAATAATTGATAATCGCTGTCCCATTGGATGGCTATTTATAGTCAACCGGTGTTAAGTCAATTTGGCAACCACTTTTTTGAATCACTTCTATGAAATTTAGTCTCGATATTCATGTCACCTACAAACCTCACGTGGCTCTTCATTTTTTTAAGGCCCGGAAGCGTTTTTTCTTGACATTTCCCGGGGGATTTAAGGATTTTTTATATAGTGTGTGGGAGATCCCACCCTTTGAAGATTTTTAGAATCGGATTCCCAAAAACGCGAATTCCTGACATTCCCTATTAGTTTAAGAAAGCTGGAATAAAAGCTGAGGGTGGTAAAAAAGACCTTAGGTTGGTTAAGAAGAATTTTCGGTGGTACACAAGAATTGTGAGTGGTAAACAAGTATTGGGGGTGGTAAACAAGATGTGAGGGTGGTGAACAAGAGCTGGAAGTGGTAAACAAGAACTGTGGGTGGTGAACAGGAACGGAGAGTGGTAAACTAGACCTACAAGTGGTAAACAAAGACCGAGGGTGGTAAACAAGAGCTGAGGGCAGTAAACAAGATTTTTGGGTAGTAAACGGGAGCTGGGTTAATGAATAACAACTAGGGTGGTAAACAGAGCCGAGGGTGGTTAACAAGGGCCGAGAGTGGTTAACAACAACAAGAGCTTCGGCTGGTGAACAAGAGCTTAAGGTGGTTAACAAAAGTTGAGGTTGGCAAACAAGAATTGTGAGTGGTAAAAGAAGACCTACGGGCGGTAAACAACAGCTAGGGTGGTAAAAATAACCCAGGGTGGTGAACAATAGCTGAGGGTGGTAAACAAGAGCTGAGGATGGTGAACAACAACTAAGTAGGTGAACAATAGCTGAGGGTGGTAAACAAGAGCTGAGGATGGTGAACAACAACTAAGTAGGTGAACAAGAGCTTAGGGTGGCAATCAAGAATTGTGGGTGTTACACAAGTATTGTGGATGGCAAACAAGACCTGGGGGTGGTGAACAACAGCTATGTTAATGAAACAAGAGCTGAGTGTGGTAAACAAGAATTGTGAGTGGTAAACAAGTATTAAGCGTGGTAAACAAGTATTGAGGGTGATAAACAACAGCTAGATTAATGAAAAACAACTAGGGTGGTAACAAAGAGTTGGGGTGGTAAACAAGAACCGAGGGTGGTAAACAAGAACTGTGGGTGGTATACAAGAACTGATGGTGTTGAACGACAGTTAGGGTGGTAAACAAGAGCTGAGGGTGTTAAACAAGAACTTAGGGTGGTAAACATCAACTGAACATCAGGTGAACAAGAGCTGTGGGTGGTGAACAGGAGCTGAGGTTGGTGAACATGAGTTAAGGGTGGTAACCAAGAGCTGAGGTTGGTGAACAACAGATAGGGTGTTGAACAAGAGTTCGGTAAACAACAACTAGGTGGGTGAACAAGAGCTTAAGGTGGTTAACAAGAGTTGAGGGTGGCAAACAAGAATTGTAGGTGTTACACCCGTCAGTATTGTGTATTATCGTACGCCTTATTACCACCCGTACACATTACTTACTACCCGTCAGTATGGTTTATTACCGTACGCCTTATTACCACCCGTACACATTACTTACCACCCGTCAGTATGGTTTATTACCGTACGCCTTATTACCACCCGTACACATTACTTACCACCCGTCAGTATGGTTTATTATCGTACGCCTTATTACCATCCTTACACATTACTTACCACCCGTCAGTATGGTTTATTATCGTACGCCTTATTACCATCCGTACGCATTACTTACCACCCGTCAGTATTGTGTATTATCGTACGCCTTATTACCACCCTTACACATTTCTACCACCCGTCAGTATTGTGTATTACCGTACGCCTTATTATACCTTAAACCTTATTACTTCAAATACATATTTCCTCCCACCCCAATGCAGTGTATTTACCGCCCACATACATTACTTAAACATTCGCGATGGCTCCAACCATCGATTGATATTCTTTGGATTTTTCGTCTCTATTTCCCCTTTTCGGTGTTTGGGATCGGAGGGGCTTACTTGGAAAATGCGTCTAGGATAAATGTGACACAATTTGGACACGCGCCTCCTATGTCTTATTTTTTACCATTCACACATCTTCATCAACCTTTTTTTTTACCTACGTAAAGATCCCTCGACAGTTGGAAAGAGTGGGCTAATGTCGCTGTCCTGACAAAATTTCCCTCATTGCACACTGCATGACGTTTGCCTATCCTCGGTAGCCCATAGAGGTGCAAAAAAGTAGGACGTAACTTTATTTTATTTCATTTTTTTTTTCTACGGATTTCTTATACAAACGTATGAATATGATTCTAAATTTCATAGCAACACTAACAGGACCTTTTGGGATGTATGCTAATTTGGTGTAAACAAAATGGCGGAATTTCTACTTTCGTTTCATTGCAAGAAATTCAATTTATATTAACGGTCTTGTCTGAACCTGACAAAATCCATTACAAATTACTCAGAGTCGACTAATATGTCATTGAAAGAAACAATTATATCAAAAAGGCTGATATTTCATGAATTTTTAGAGATTTTTTCTGCCACCCGGATGGCGAATAGTCAAATGAATAGACGTGGACTATTCGCCACCCGGGTGGCGAATATCCACGGCCATTAATATTAGCCGAGCGTCAAGCGGATCCCAATGTTCCTTGTGGGTGGGATAGAGGACATCGCCGCCTGAAACGAAGACGTTTTCCATTTAGACTTGGTTTGCAAGGCATTTCTTACATAGAACTTTTTTCTGCAAAAATTTGTTACCCGGTATTTCATTTCACTTACAAACGTTACCGAATGTCAACGGAAGCAACCTACACCAACCAAAACAACATCTTCAATGCTTGAAGCTCTTTTTTGCATCACGTAGGTATGTAAATGCGGCGATTTGATTGGATTGGACGCTACAAAATGCAGCTGATCAGAGCCCTCGATAAAGAGTCCGTAACCCATAAGCCACTTTTTGTCGAGGGCTCTTATTGGTTGTATTCTCTAGTGTACAATTCAATCAAATCTCTGCATTTAGTGATACAAGAAAAGAGCTAATTGACATTGTGAAGATACCAAAACATACGAGAACAAGCAAACTACGATCAATAAGCACTCTGATCATCTTTTAATCCGTCAAATCAAATTGTTAGCGATTTTATACGGAAATAAATAAATGAAAAATACCACTTTGGTCAGAAAATTAGAGGAATTTCTTTAAATAGATGAAGATCCCTGTTCATGGTAAAAACCAAATCGTTCAATAGTTTAATAACACACTGAACATGATTGTTGGTGGACGTCGTCCAATTTCAAGTACGAAAAGTCGGTGTCTCATCTTGACAATGCTTAAATTTAAGAGATATTGAAAATGTATCACTTGTGTACATACTAGCTACATACGGACATCATTTTTGCAGTATAGGAAAGGGACATGGTTATTTTGATTCCATGCAACCACATTGACTGACGAAATTATTTCAGGGGATCTCCGGCTCGAGACCTTTCGGGTTAATTAAGGGTAGCTCATGAGTCAAAACGACATTGCTACTGGCAGAAGCTGTCCGGATTTTTGCTATCAACTAGCTTTATCTGGGATCATCTGACCAATCACTGGATTAAGTCGACCTGAGCACATCAACGTCTGAAATATCACAGTTGCAACCAATTGCTGGTTTATTAAATATTTTAGTCGATTTGGAAGTCTGATACTGACCACTTTGCTCATGTCGTTACGGGTACGAGGAGATTAGGGAGGCATCCCATAAATGTATACGTTGGGGCTGGCATGGAACAAACATCTAGTCGTCAGGATGCCATAAGCTGTGCAGGTCAAAGATCCTACGACAGTTGTAAATCAAAAAAAGCAGAATACCGCTGTACTTGCAAAATGTCCCCATTACACACTGCATGGCGTTGTCCGTTTTTATCAGAAGAAAAGAAGGATGTAAAGCTCCATTCATTTCACTTTTTTTTAAATACGCAATCATGGGAATAGATGCAATGAATAAAATGTTTTTATTGTATTTATTTCATAATTTAACATAAATTATGTTAATGAGATTTCAGGATCAACAAAATGTTAATGATCATTCATAAATAACAGAAATGATAAAAAAAATTTGCATATGCGCATATAATTATTTACAATTGTTTGACCGAAGTTGAAATAGTTTTCAATACGAAATTTGAGGTACTGGTGTTTTTTTTGTTTTTTCTTACACCGTTTTGCAATTCATTAGTCATTCATTCATATTCATTATTTCAGACATGAGAATTCATGAATGGGTTCAGATAATATATATGCAATTTTTGAACACTCATATAATCACTGTATAGAATCGACATAAGGAATACTACCTATTAAAATGGATATGAAATTAAAAGTCTCAAACTTGGTTAACGTGTATATATTCATTAGTTGGACTTACCAAGTACCACAACTAAAGAATAGAATCTCTATATAACACGATATATCTATTAAACTAAATAATTATTGAAAGACACTTCTAAGTGTTTCAAAATTACTTAGTTTAATGAATCATTACTTAGTTATATGGATTTATTGAATTATAGAGGGCTTCTGTTATATAGTTTTGACACCAGGTAAGTCCACTGATGAACAAAGACTCTTTTTTTTTACCAAGTTTAAAAATTTCAATTTTTTGGTCATCCTAAGAGGTAGTATACCTTTAAAACATTGAAATGCAAAAAAAACACAAACCATTTCAGGCATAGTCTTATCAGATAATCAACAGTTCATTTTGATCTTCCAAACAGTTGTAATGCATAACCTCAATGATATAATCTGAATTTCTTTTAATTGCTTTCTTTGCAAAAAAGGAAGAAAATGGAAAGATCGAGGGTAAATTTTTTCCAAACAACTTACAACTACTGTCTTCAAATTTGAAATTTGAATATCTAGTATCAGAATGCATTGATAAAAATAAATTCAAATGTGTGCTCATGCTTATTTTTCATCAACACAAAGCAATGCTTAGACTAACAGTACTTTTACAGGATACATATTGCTAATGTGCTAAGACTGTAAGCATCAGTGTTTATATAATAACATTGATAATGTTCACAATTAAATTTTGATCTGAACATTTTCTAAGGAATGGCAGTCTAAATTGAACAAAATTAAGATTTAAAGGGATTGTACCATCAATTTGCAGCATTCCAATTTTTAATCAAGTGTCTGTGTTTCCTGTAATTCCACTAAAACTAAGTGTTTTATGATGTCACTAATTGCAAAGTCCTTACGTGATAATCATATTTTGCAATTAGTGATATCATCAAACATTTACTTTTAGTGGAATTGTAGGAACCAGAGACGTCTGGGTGAAAATTAGAATGGTGCAAATTGATGCTATCAATGTCCTGATACACACACACAATTTAGAAAACCTGTTCACAATCCCTGTAAGAAATTCAACTACTTTTATAACAGCACCATCCCAAATCACACTTAATAAAGAGTGGCCCTTGCCTTAGCTGTGGGTTTGCGTAATCTGCCACGACTACTCATACTCACTTGAGGAACATCCTCAGACGAGTCAGACTCACTTGACTCATCTGAATTGTCCTCTAAATCACTTTCATTTGGATACTGCACAGTTCTTTGACCTTGAAAACGAGTATTGCGTGACTTGCCTGGCTGTACACCATTACCGTTGCGATTGGGTCTAGTTCTTGTCTTATTATTATTTTGCATAGATTTCGGGGGATGTGATTTTTTCACAGTTTTAGCACTACTTGATGGTTTGATAGCAGATTTACTCTGTGGATCCTCATAGTCACTATAACTTTCAGTGTCACTATTGAGAATTGGTCTTTTGGATTTGCGCTTGGTCACTACTGGTGTTCCTTCGATTTCGTCACTAAAACTCACTTCACTATCACTTTCATATTTAGTTTTAGTAGAAGATTTTGCGCTCCGAGGTGGTAAATGGTCACTTTCTGATCCTGAGGCATCATTATATTTTTTCTGAGTCTTCACTCGACGAGATTTTCGAGATTTTGAAGAGAAATCTTCCTCCTCACTTTCACTCATAATTTTAGGTGGAGCTGATCCTCTAGTTTTTCTCACGTTTGTTTCAACTTCTATTTCACTAGCACTAGATTTAGAACTTGAAGATGATGAAGATGACGAAGATGATTCTGAAGAACTTCCATCAGAGCTGTTGGTGGTGGCCGTGGTTGTGGTTTGAGCATTGAGTTGAGTTGAGTCAACAATAAAGTCTGCATCGTCATCATAATTATTGTCATCTGAACTTTCATAAGTTTTTGGCTTGAGTGAGCCAGTTTTGGCTCTTGTTTTATAGTTACTGGTTTTACTAGCTCCATTCGATACTAATGCTTTGGCTGGAATGGAAACAAACCAATTTTGAGATCAACATGGAACATTTTAAAATTAAAACAATCCTTATCTCAATGCCTCTAATTCCTAGCGCAATGTTATCTTTGCCAAAATTGCATTCCTATTAAAGGCAATGGTTGGTTATTTTTGGTGGTTGATTTGGGTCTAGAATATATGTAAATACCTTCAAAAGAACAAGAACAAGAGTCAAAGGTATGAGGATAATTCTGGACACACATGGATTTGAAGGCTATTACTGATTGGCTAAGCTTAAAAAAATCCCGTTTCTGAGACTAAGGTATGATTGGTAAAACAGATGGGGAATCTGTCCCTTTAAATATTATAGTCTTCCATTTTATAAAAATTGACTAACCTCTATTGCGTCGAGACTTTTTTCTTTTAGATGTTGGTTTTGGACGTTTGGTGTTAACTCTGTCATCACCATCATCATCATCTTCACTCATAATAAAACTTCTTACTGATCTAACACCTAGCAATATACCAGAAAATACATTCAGCAAAAGCAGTCGACAAAAATAGAAACATCCATATATGACAATAATAACAATTTAGGTTCAGGAGGATCCTACCTACCAACTGTTCTATTGAGAATCTTGGTATGGACTGTTCCTGGATTAACCGTACCCATTTACAGCTGGGTAAAGTACAATAATTATGCAGATACACAAAAGAATACCCAATTGAACCGAGATTTTCTTAGCTGTGAGTAACATAAGTTATTTAAGATATTTTGAGATGACATGGTAAAGATTTCCAACAAAAAACTTACTTCTGAACATGGGAGAGATACCATTGACATGACCATTAACATTAGAAGAACTTGGAGCTGGTACTTGTCCACGAGTTGTTCTTCTTGGTCGGCTAGAACTGGCTGACAAACTGGTATCAACTGGTTCAATCTGGGATGAAGATGGTCCGGTAGTGGTTTGATCCAATGGACGTGACTTAGTCCTACTTCCTCCTTTACCTCTATTAGCTTTCCATTTGGTCTGAATTTCTTTAATTTTCTCTTCAAACATGGCCGACAACCTGACTGTCATGGAGTAAATCTGTAAAAGATCAACAATACAATTAGGTAATAATTCTTTATACTTAGCTGATCTCATGGTCTGTGTAGCATATAGCCCAGAAGACATTCGGCCCATGAAGGACCAGAGAACACAAGATGTCAAGGTGGTTTAAGCAATGCTTGATATCTTGTTAACCTTGAGATCTTTAAAATTAAGTCTGCGAAAGCTCAGCAAATTCAAAGTATAAACTGATGGCTGAAGGTTCCGGGTTCAATCACAGTTTGGTCAAGGTATACCTTCAAATTTTTCAACCCTAACCCAATTCCTTTTAACCAAAAACTAAACAACAAGTTGTAAAAGAAAAGATAATTATTTGTCACTTACCCTTGAGCGTTTGTTCGTATTGTACAATTTGGAATTCTGGAATATAGTTCGGACATCTTTGCACAGTTCAGCAGGATTGCTATAATGGTTGGCGTTAAGGTTGTCTCTAATCAGTGTAAAGTCCATGGGTGTGTCTACTTTATCAAAATAGTCCTGAAATGAAGAAAAAAAAACATCAAAATTTGATTCTATGGATTTAATATATTATACGAAAGGAATAGTTTCAGGAAGTATAGGCACCACTAGCATCATTGTTAAAATATCTGGATTATATTTTGAAGCTCTAAGCCAGACATGATTGGCAAATTATATATCTGGTCCTAGAGCGTGAAACATGCCATCTCACAAACACAAGGCAATATTATAGAATAAGCACACAATTTACACCTGCAATCACGAGACGAAAATGAATATTCCAAAATATTGTCATGTGTACGTTTCTAGGTTAACATCAAATTGCAAAAATAGTGTTCACAGTGTGTTTTACAATCCGAATCAGGACACGACTGATAAAAGTAGCCAAAAGGAACATGCTTAGCCTATTTTCAAATGATCCTAAAACACTGATTTCATAATTCATAATCTGGCTCTGTTCCTTGCTGGTAAAATTTGGAAGCTTCAATAAAGACAGACTTGATAAATTAGGTTTTTCTGGGAGAAAGAATATAAACTTACAGGATGATCAACAAGTGATATAGGTTCACGGAATGGTTGGGAATCTTCACATTGAAATACAGTTTGTAATAATTGTCGACAATTTTCTATCCAGGCATCTGGATCAGTACTTCTATCTGTTTTACTTCTTCTAGCAGTCTACAAAGAGAATTATAACATGATATAGAAATTCACATTGATATTTACTATGTATGTATACATACTTAAGTGGGCAGGTCTTAGCTGTGGTATAACTAGTTTAAATCAAAGTTATAGAATGTTTTACTCTGTAAATGTATAGAAAAACATAAGTTCCCAAGATACTAGTCCCAAGCCAGGAGGCAAAAAAAAAAAAAAAAATTCTTACTCTATTTCTTTTACTAGTGCTGCCCCCTTCATCTTCATCTGTTTCACTATTAGAGATCTGTTGTAGTTGGTGTAAAATAGGCATTGGATCACGGCAAGAACTGTCACTAGAAATTAATAAAATTAACATTCAATCATCTAATTTATCCATAGAACTCAACTGAGGTTTTTATATATAAGTGTAAAGGAGGGAAGGGTATAACTGAATTGGGCTAAGGAGATGCTGGGCTATTTGATGGTGAAAAAGGTGGTTTCCATGACCCCAAATCAATGTTTCGACTAGTGGTTCAAAAAAACATGCAGAATACTGGCAAAAGAACTTTTTTAGCAGATATAGCAATTTTTAACTTTTACTCTCCATGGAACAACAGAGAGATAGGCCACTATAGGTTCGAAAAGAATAATTTTTGTTAAAAATATTGTGAAACTTTCTATATACCGGTACCGGTATATATTTTTAGACGTACCTTATTAATCTAAGAATAGTGTCTGTAAGTATTTTTGCTGATTGAACTATCTGGGAATTGGGTTCGTTAAATTTCCTGGCATTGGTTTCTAGATATCTGACATCATACTGTATAGCATTCACACGTCTGTAAACACAATATAATATTATAATTAACACAGGGTTTGCTTAATATTTTCCAGCTATATTGGATATCTGTCATCTTGCTGCCCTCTGATTTTGGCGATATCTGGAATTACAATAACCAAAGATGGTAGACCAGTGTCTCAAATATTCTGATTACCTTTTTCGAATCACATTCAGTTGGTTCAAGAGAAACAGAATTTTAAAACAAGTACAACACTTACCTATAAAATCTATTTTCTAACCGGGCTTTGATAGTACTGAGATCTATAGGATATTCTATAACAATGGCGTAAGAAGGGAAGGCACTCAGGTCCACAGGAGCACTAAAATATTCGGCAATACGATGTTCCATCAGTAACTCTAGTCCATGTACAATTCTGTCACATTCCACATCCCTGCCCTCTGGTGGCCATTCATTGGCTTTAGGTGTGTACAGTAGTGCTTTCATTTCTTCTGGCAACACTAGAAAACCTTCACCATGTGCTGATTGGGGACAGTTTCTTCCTATCAGTTCCATATCCCATGGACTGAGTTTTTCTGTTTCTTTATTATCCCATCTGAAAAAGAACCAATAGTACATCAAATATTGAGATTAGCCAACAAAGAAGAAGCCTTATTCCCACAGGAAAATAAACAATAACCCTGTGTGCTGCAAATTTTACACATTTAATATCTCTATAGTTAGTAAGCCATTTAGAGTAGGTTAAAGCTGTTGCTATGGCAAATTTACCCTATTTAGCACTTCCATACACTACCTGTCTTTAATACCTAATCAGAAGTAAAAGGTTAACTTCATTTCATTTTTCAAAGAAATGCATTCAAATTAACTATTAATTCCTGCTCCCATAGAAACCACTTGGTGTCGCCTAAAAGTTGGATATGAACAACTGAACTATTAAATGCATCCAGAAAGTTTTTAGAAGTGTCCATAATCCAATTCTCAATTTAATTTCAAGATAAGTCTATCAAAATATGTAAGAAGAACTTACAATACATTAAAACATTGGTACATGCTGTCAGGGAACTCTGGTTGGAATGGTTCCTGTGATACTATAGTTCCTAACCACCACATATCATCAATTATAGATCTAAACTTATCACCTAGAATATATGAACGATAATAAAATCAGAAATAGATCAACTTAAGGGACAGATGCTGCATATTTTGGGACCAGAAACAGACAATTTTTAACTAAGCCAATCAGTAATACATATTTGAGAAGTTCTCTGGTCGATATGGCGTCTGCAATCCCGAGGTCAAAGAAAACAAAATATACTGATGAACAAGTAGTGTACAAAATACAACAATGGATATCAAAATTATAAGAAAATTATCTGAAGTACCTGGTTTAAAATTTCTGGCCATAGCTGTGTCATAATTCTGTCTTAATACAACAAAATCTATCACATCTGGTATGTCATGATATCTGAAATTTCAAATAATTCTGATAACATAAAACACTAAAAAGTTTGTTTCCTTTTATTCTTGGAGTTAAATAATTCTAGATCTCACAGCTTGGTTTTTTATAACTTATTGAACAGGGAGTAACTGGACACAATTTTCTGGATAAATAAAACTTCATTGATAAACAATTGAGTAGGCCTAATAATTACTTAATTAGTTAATGGCATAGTTATTAGTAATCACCTTAATTCCATTGACTAATTAAGTAATCATTACTCAATATGATTAATCATTTTCTTCTCCATGTAATCACTTTGTTACTAATCACTTGTTTATTACTATATATTCTATTTGATCTGTTAATTTGTATCATTGCTTGATAAAAATGAAAGTACCTTCATCGAAACGTCGCAAGTTATTTATTAAAGTAATTGTTATCTATATAATTGTGTCCAGTTATTTATTACCCAATTACTAAATGCTACTAAAGGAAGTGAACAGGGATTGTAAATGAAAAAGAATGTCTTAAACATTTGATTGGTTGAACTGTGGGACCATTTTTTATATCATAAGATTTAGAATAAGTGAAGAAACTCACCTAAAAAGAGTATGTAACCCCCACAAAGTAACAAATCAATAATAGATTAAGAGTAATAATTTTGTAAAAGAACTAACTTACTTGATAGAGAATTTACTACCAACTGCTTTACCAGATTCAGGATCTATAACAGCTAATCTTAAACAACATAATCTAGGTGGACGGATTTCATAATGGATACCAATAATACGTACTAATTCTTGTTCCTAAAATTACATTAATATGGTTACTTTAATATTCATCAAGTGTAACATGTCATAGAATGGCTAATAAAACTCCATTTTTAACTCTTCACATGTTCTTCTGTTGTTCTGATGAAGTAATTCTGCTAATTGGAAGCAATTATTACCACTTGAAATCACAGAAATTGAAAATATGCATTGTTTTCCTACAGTATTTTGTTTTCATTACATGACTGTCATGTCATGACTTGTTGGGCCATGAAACATCAGACTTCACCACTGTGGAATGATTTACAATATTTACTTAGTGACATAATCTGGTTCGATTGTGGCCATTATCTGAACAGACAGAATCTATTTATAACTTAGGAGTCGAGCACCATCTTGGTAACCAAAAATGCAAAAATGTCAAAAGAATTTTACCCTGAGGTGTGGATTTTTATGCCAAGGTTGATTGCGCTCTATGTTGATTTGATAGGCACTGGTTCTTTTAACAGCTTTTAAATACTGTTCATGACCCTGTCTAAAATACATGACCTCATCTCCCATCTGTGGTACGTAGGGTGTTTTACGTGGTACTGTATCAGTTAACCATTCTGGTGGACGGAATTCTTCTGGTACTTCTCTAATACTAGTATCTATCACTGGTTTTCTCTACAATAGAAAAGTCAATCTTGAAAGAAGGTGCGAGTCTGAATTGAACCATGAGAAAATGAAGTACCTTATAGAAGAAATTCTCACACTTGAAAAATTAGTAGCATTCATTTTTCCAGTTTGGTATCTTCTCTCAGAACTGTTACCTGTGAAACCTTCAATTCTTCTCTAAGCCCAATGATCCTGTACCAGCAAACATTCTAGATGTGTATCCACCACACCATTCAATTGCTTATGGTGAAGGTTTCATTTAGGGAGTCTTAAGTGACAGGATATCAGTCTGCTACTCAAGGGTTTGGAGACAAATCTGACTCAACTTACAGCTGTCTGTCTTCTTTTCTTTGCAGGAGGTTTTTTCTTTTTGGTCTTTGGTTCTCTTGGTTGACTGAGTCTACTGTTATCTTCTTCATCATCGTCATCATCTTTATCGTCATCATCATTATCATCATCATCATCATCATCATCATTTTCAGATGAGCTGACACGTTTCCGTTTTCTAGTGCGTGTAGATTGTCTAGTAGGAGGTTGTAAATTTGTTTCTCTGTCTCCCATCCAATCAGAATATACACTTGAGTCGCTGTAAAATAGATCATAGTACTGTCATATTGAGATAATGTGGTCTGTATTAAGAGTAATCTCCCTTGAGAGAAAGGAGAACCAGTGAGTAAAGATGGAGGCCATAATTTGACTGTTTTATCATTAAATCCAAACGATTCTGGAAAACTCAGTTCCCAACAGAACACTACAGTCATTTTCAATGGTTTTAGCTGCTGTATTATTACTGATGTTTCATGTGTAGGCCTATAATTCTTACATATAAATTGCCACCTGGATAATATTGTATAACACATTTCCAGTTTGAGAGCTTGGTCTACATTTTAATTAACCTACCTTTCATTGCCAGACGCCCATAAATCAGAATCAACATGGTCTTCCTGTAATAAAAACATAGTCCATAAGACACACAATAAAATCTTACATATCCAAATAAACCATGAAATGACATTAGAAAATTTGGGATTTAACAAAGAAACAATTCAAATTTAATTTTTTTTCCTTACTCACAGGAAGCAAGACGAGACCATTGGGTCATTGGGTGGTCTAAGAAAATGCAATACAAACCTCATCTTCTGTATCATACAAAGCTCTAGCTGTTAATCTATTAGTAGTTACTTCCACATTATCAGCAGCAGCAGCCACTTCAGCCTGATTACTGTGTCGACTTTTATTACCACCCTTTCTACGATTCTCTACATGTAATGCATAGTCGTGCTGAAATAGAAAATAAAATGAAACGAATGGAGTTTTACGTCCTACTTTTCTGCACCTTGTAGGCTTATGAAGACCGGCAACAATATGCAGGGTGCCATGAGGGAAATTTTGCCAGGACAGCAGCATTAGCCTGCTCTTTTTGATTTCCAACTGTAGAGGGATCTCTAACGTGCACAGCCTGTAGTACACAGTTCAAAAAATAAGTTACTTGTTAAAATTGTGCAGATGATCCTATCTGGACAAAATTTAGTTGATCATGATAAGTACCAAATACGACAATATGGCGATATTTTGTTATTTTTGAATGAGGCAATATTACTAACGATATACATACCCAGGCATGTAACCAGACTTGATTGTTTGGAGGGGCAAGTTATATATCTGGAGGTGCCATGGGGTATACTGTTTAGATGCAGTAATGGAAGTAGTGGGTTATCAGGATTTGTTTAGGCAGGAAATCAATTTTTTCGGATTCAATTCATATACAGCAAAAATTTGTATAACTTACATCATGGGCTCCATGTGGTCTTTTCTTTCTTTCACACATAAACTTCTTATGTTCTACATCACCTAACGCTATTCTTACTTCTTCATTATGCCTGTAGGAAAGAGGTAAAATAAGTGTTTTGGTAGGTAAATGAAATGAATTCAAGTGCATAATCAAATTCTAGTATTTAAGTGTAGCCTGTACCAGGCGTGTAAATATAGCCCAATAAAAACGGGCACCCACTATCAGGGCATGGGAATTCATGTTATCTAATTATCGCAAAATAAAGTTTCAAATCATTTACAATACTATACAAGACATATTGAACGGAAGTTTTTCAGGGTTATCTTACTTGAGTTCTTGAGAATCAATATCTCTAATCAGACGTCTGCGGTTCAAGGCTGCTATATCTCTTGGTGTAGATCTCTGGGATACGTTGCCTAGCGACTGTCTTACACCTTCTAATTCACCACTACGTCTCATTCCAACTAAACCTGAAAATATTCCAGAAATCACTTGAAAATCTTCCCAAAGAAAACAACCATTGTGAGATAGTACATTCTTTTAGGCTTTCTTTTATCCAATATCTAACCATATTCTGCATATGCACATCAAAAAGAAACAGTCCTACACATTTCAACCAGGACATCAATCTACTGGACCCTTAGGATGAATATGATGGTGGGATTGCAAGTCCTTCTTTTCATATACCATGTAAAACGCAAAAACAAAGACAAAATTGCTGAAAATTAAATCATTTTCTAAGTGGCTTTGCTAAGTTGAGCTTCCAAGTATCAAATGTCGCCTACCTTGTCCAGATGGATGCCTTCCTCTTGGTGAACCTTGTGGATGAGGCGGAGAAGCTAGAGGTTCAGCACCTATTCTAGCCACACGTTGGTCCTGTTCTCTCTGTAAATTCTGGATCATCTCATCAATGCTGCGTCTGTCTTCTTGAGCTCCTTGTGCACCTGGTTGATGAACAAGGGCTGGGAGTTGAGGTGGCATAGGTTCCACAAACACAGCATCTGGTATGGGCTCTTCTTCACCAATTACTTGAGACTCTCCTGGGCAAAATAAACAAATTGTTCAGACAAAAAATACCAAGGATTGAAAACATTTCAAGATTAGAGTCGAGGATAATAAAAAATGGCAATTCTAAAATGTCAACCTAAAACCTGTGGTACAAGCATTGTATTATTTACAATATAGTAAAGGCTAACAACAAAAGTGGCCATCACATCATTAACGGATTTGCGTCTGCTTGTCTACCAGTTTCACCACTCACCTTCTTCATTATAAGCCACTTGAGGTACCAGCTGATCAGGAGAACATTTCTCTCTTCCTGGTACCAATCTCTGTATTTTTGGTGGGTAAGGGTTGCCATCTATATCTACCAAGAAGGGTGGGGGCATGAGATGTGGGGCTTGTTGTGTCTGCTCATCTAGAACGTAACTGTTGGTGTCTCGGATCAATGGACGGTAGTCTGTGTGAAAGAACAGCTCTTGAGGCACCTAGTGAAAAAAAAGGCATTTCAAAATCGATAACAGAACTTCAAACTTTATTTAACATCATATGCTTATGATTTACTCATGATTGGAGTCCTACAAAGGTTTTTCAATCCAAAAGGGATGTGCTTGTAATTATATGTCTGCATGTTTGAGGAAAAAAAATGATTTTGCCAAAATGTCTGCAATGAACCCTTGAAAGTTAAGACAAATTCAAGGCTTAGAATTTTAGCAACAGTGGTGTATTTACCTCTTTGTATTTGTTGTTATATCCAAAACCAAAGACTAACAGGTGACCATGGGAGTCTGTGGCTGCTATTTTTAATCCATCTGGTGAAAATTTACAGTCAAATACAGCACCATGACCTTGACCTTCAATCTGAAATACCAATCATGTTTTTTTTTCATTTTAACTGAATGTGTGAGCTCCTGCTATTCGTTAAAAGAATAAAGCAGTCTAAATATTTGTTTTGACCAGCAGATAAACCACAATTTTAGCTAATAAGGCAAATGTGGACCATTTTCAGAATATCGATTGACATATACTCACATTGTTAAAGAATGATTTTATCATCTGTCCTTTCTTGACATCCCAGATTATTACTTTACCATCATGTCCAGCACTGACAAATATATGGTGAAATACTGGATTGGATTCTAATACAAACGCTTCATCATCATGGCCCTAGGAGGAAGAACAATATCAAAATCAATTTAGATAATAGAACTTGGCATACTTATGTACAATGCATAGATGAAAATCAGACAAAAGAAAGAAAAATTTTTCACAAGGATAACAACTTCACCAGGATCCTTCCTACCTTTTCCAGATTATCTGTTCCCCTTTACAGCTGTGTCAATGAGTCAAATTCCCTGAGAAATGTAAGAATAAAACATAATATACCTTAAGTATGTGCTGTAGTTTACCGGTAGTAGAATTCCAGACTTTAATAGTAAAATCACTAACTGCGGTCACTACTAATAAATCATTTTTACTCCAACAGACCATAGTTACACTAGGTTTTTCTTGACTAGAGTAAGTATTCGGTGTTGCAGTCGCGCTGAAATTGTAGTACACAATCCACATCAATACATAGTTTTGCTAGTAGTTCAAATATTCTAGACTGGTCGTTTGGGACAACGAGTCTTAATGACAGAGGTTGAAAAATCAAGCAAGACACTCCATCTCAAATCCAAGTTAAACAGAATTTAATTATTGTCTTCTATCAAGCTAAACCTACCATGGCAACACAGTGGACATGTTTAACACTGTCGCTCTCCATTCCTGTCTTTCATATCGCCATATTCTAGCTGTACCATCTTTACTACCACTAACAAAATTAACACTATGATTACTGTATGTTATACTGTCAACACGATCCTGAAAATATTCAAATTTGCCTTCTCAATTAATCCAGTTAGTTTTCAGCAGCAGTGAAACAGTTTTGAACAAAAAACTCAAAACACCACTATTTTTTCAGGTATCATATCAAAATTGGGAGTTTATGACAAATAGTCTTAGCAAACAGAAATTTCAGGGATAGATGACCAAAATTTGAACTTACGTAGTGAGCTTCTAGTTCGCAGATTTTTTCTGGTGCAGTAGCATGAAGGAAGTAGACTCGGATAACGTGGTCTGAATTACCAGTGGCTAAAAACATACCACCAGGACTAAATGATGAACATAACATCTGAGCTCCTGCCCTAGATCTCTCTATAAACTTTATTGGTTTAGAACTGAAAAATAAAATGAAGACATTGAACATTGTGTCCATTTTTGGGGTGTTTTATAAGAAGCGTTTGCAATAGTGTTGCATAAAAAGTTTGGGTGGAATTTAGAAAGCTACTTAAAAGTTGTCAAAACTAATGCAAGTAAAAAATCAAAGATGGATACTGTTACCATGGTTAACTTATCTCCCTTTAATGTTGTCTGCTTCTTGCATATGCACACTATGCATAAACACAATATGGATATAATTTGATACTTACTTGAATTTATTGGTGACGACATTCCAAGTCCAGAAACAAACACAACCATCTCCTCCAGTAGATAATAAATACCGTGTTTCACCTTTACATTGTGGACAGAACTGAAGACAAAAATACAAATTTATTCACACTTAAGTTCTTTGAATAATGATGGTGAAGAAATGGACAGTAACGTCTACTTGGTTCACAATCTAATTTTTTAATTCCACAGAATTTGTTTGGAAAATGAAGATGGGATGTGGTGCGATGTACAATGGGGTAAAATTTGTAAAAAAAAATTCTAAATTTTCTGTTTCATTCACTTATCACTGACAAGAGCGATCTATTTTGAAAAGAAATTTTTACAATTCATGATTTGGAATAAGCTTTATAGTAACATTACTGCAATTGAGACAAAAAGAATGTCTATGCTTCATGATTACATCTTGCCATTTTGTACTTCTGTTTGCCAACTAGGAAACATTTTCAAAATCCATTGTCCTTAATCATTGACATACAAATCTCACCTGTACAGATGTTATCATGCCAGAATGACCATGTAAAATGGCCACCGGAGACTTGGTTTTTAAACACCAAACTCTTATCATTTTATCACAACTACCAGCAGCTAATAATGTGTTCTCAAAATTGACAGCAATGTCTGTTATTTCAGCAGAATGACCACGGAATGTAGCCAGCAGTCGGCCATCTTTAACACTCCATACTTTTACTAAATGATCATCTGCTCCCTAAAGAAAAAAGACCTTGTGTTAAGGCAGAGGTAACTAATAAATATTGTCATGCATCTGGGGATGTTTCCACAAAAAAACAAGAGGAGTTACTGTTTGGGTATTTGAGAATAAATAGTAATTGAAACTAGGGTTGTTTGTGTTTATGTTTTGAAAATGGATGTATTGCACTATGTTCCAAATATTATTCAATATAATATCATTATTCAGATAGGGTTGTTTTTCCCACTAATGATAATGAAATTTCGAACTGTCGAGGGATCTTTAAAAGAAAAACTTGCAGTACACTGGCTCTGGCTTATTGCCCATCCATATTGAAATTCCCTTCTAATGTGCATCACCAACAAGGAACTGGACATCTAAACGAATAAAGCAAGCAGAGACCAACTCACTGAATCACTGAGAGAGAATGGCAAAAACGATGATAACTTACAGTAAATATATATTGACCAGTTCTATCAAACAGAACACAATATACAGCTGATAGGTGGCCTAACTTTCGGTCGTAGCGTTCAATCTTTTTATAAAATGGTGTCGGGAACACAATGTCTTTACGACTTCTGCCACTTAACTTTTGAGCATGTAATACATGACCTAAAATAAGCATGAAAACAAGATTTGAAAATGGAACACTTTGATGATTTAAAGTTTGCACACAGATTATTACTTTGCAATAGGTCACAGTTAAGAAATGTTTTGCAGATAGCCATCACAAACATCTGTCTGTACTGGAGCTTTAGGAATGATTTTGCTATGCATTGGACATGAAAGCTGGAAATACCAGGCACTGTTCAATAAGGTAAATATTGCTGTTTTCAGATATCCTACTGTGTACAGATTTTTGATGTACACTGCTCGAGTCATTCATGAAAAAATTGAAATCATGTAACTATAGCGATATCAACATATTGTCCCTTTCAAACAACAACCCTTTTCAATGTCAGAAGCTAACCTACAGCCATCAATGTACAAGCAGACAAAGTGTAAGCATTTAAGTACAAGATTGAATGACTTACAGATATTTGGTGTAGCTAGATTAGAGGGAGGTAAGGTAGGGTAACCATGTGATAGTGTTATATATTTAGATGGAGTCCATTTTGTTTCTTTTATATCTGAAATAGAAAAATACAACTTTGTAAGTCCACATACTTTCAACTTTTCCAAAGCGAATTAAAGAAATCTGGACAAATCATGCAGGTGTGTAATGTTATGTTGGACTGTAGGGGTTTTGGGTCCAGGATAATCTGTCCTTAGTTCCTTTCCACACTGAAAACAATAATCAAGATTCAGTCATTTTAATGTTCTGGCAGCTAAAATGTGAAGATGTAGTAATCCCAAGGATATTCATGTGAGATTATGAATAGCAAAGTTACTAAATATATAGACACTTTGTTTAAAGGAATACTTTGCCTTAAAATGAACATAAAATTTTAAAATTTTGAACTTAGAAAATAAAAAAATCTGATAAATCCAAAAAACTTAGTAATTATCCATAAATATGCAATTAACTATTGAAAAACGCTTAATATAGATTAAGCGTTTTTCAATAATTACTTGGTTTTATGAATTTTCCAGATTTTACAGGGATTCTGTTGTAACTTTATGACACCAGGTAAGTTCATTGATGAATATTTACTCATATTGACCATTCTTGAGAACTTAAATTTTATGTTCATTCCTAGTAGGCCAGCCTATCATTTTAAAAAAAAGCCTTATTTATCAAAAAACAAAACATTTCATTGACAGGATAAAACTGGGTTGAAAAATCCATAGACAAGCCTAGTATACTTGAAACGAAACCCTACGCATAAAAATGAACAAGATACTGCCTGACTAACTCAGCTAGTTGAACCCTTAGAATAAAAGATATTTACCTTCTATTGTCCTCAGTAATGACATGTGACCTGCCCCTAGTAACGATCTGACCCCTGTAACACATGGTGGAACTTCTTTATCAACCAGAGGCCCTAATCTCTCACAGACCCTTAATAAATAATCAGCTGATACATGGGAATTTATCTCAATCTGTAATAATATAATAAATAATCAGCTGATACATGGGAAATTATCTCAATCTGTTATACTATAATATATAATCAGCTGATACATGGGAAATTATCTCAATCTGTAATAATATAATAAATAATCAGCTGATACATGGGAAATTATCTCAATCTGTAATAATATACTAAATAATCAGCTGATACATGCAAATTTATCTCAACCTGTAATAATATAATAAATAATCAGCTGATACATGGGAAATTATCTCAATCTGTAATAATATACTAAATAATCAGCTGATACATGCAAATTTATCTCAATCTGTAATAATATAATAAATAATCAGCTGATACATGGGAAATTATCTCAATCTGTAATAATATACTAAATAATCAGCTGATACATGCAAATTTATCTCAACCTGTAATAATATAATAAAAAATCAGCTGATAAATGATAATTTATCTCAATCTGTAATAATATAATAAATAATCAGCTGATATATGATAATTAATCTCAATCTGTAGTAATGTAATAAATAATCAGCTGATACATGGGAATTTATCTCAATCTGTAATAATATAATAAATAATCAGCTGATACATGATAATTAATATCAATCTGTAGTAATATAATAAATAATCAGCTGATACATGGGAATTTATCTCAATCTGTAATAATATAATAAATAATCAGCTGATACATGGGAATTTATCTCAATCTGTAATAATATAATACATAATCAGCTGATACATGATAATTAATCTCAATCTGTACTAATATAATAAATAATCAGCTGATACATGGGAATTTATCTTAATCAGTAATAATATAATAAATAATTAGCTGATACATGGGAATTTATCTTATAATCTGCAATAATATAATCAATAATGAAAGGCAGCTCCATTTTATATTGTTTTGTGTTTTAGATATAGCCTCCATCCCGAAAAAGTGGCCAAGCCCTACACTATGATGGGCCAGAAAAGTCAATGAATATGAATTATTTTAATATCTCCACTCCCTTTCGTTTTTTTATGTGAAAGACCAATACAGTATAAAAAATTGAATGTGAATGTGTTATAAAAATCCATTTTGTCTTCCAAATATGAAAAATATTTCAAAATAAAAATTGTTATAAGGAAAATACTGTGTTATTTCACTGGTTGTAAATCATGTTTCAATATCACAATATATCATAACCTTATATTCACCAGTGACCTACTTTATACACCAATAACATAGAAAGTCTATAAAAATAGTAACATGGCCTAATTTTCAGACCTCTACAGCAAGCTTGATTCTGATAGGTCCAATGTCGACCTCATTCAGTATGTCGTATTCTGATTGGCTAATTGCTAGTTTCAAGGATTGTGACATCACTACACAAGAAATGGCCATTTTAGATTTTAAGCAGTCTTCCATTTTCTATCTAATTTTCGAAAAATAAAGAATAAAATCGAATTGATTCGACGTGACAACTAAAAATTTGAGAAGATCAAGTCTTCAGCTTTAAAATGCAACCAAGACTGAAAATGTACCATATTTCTGGTATTTTCAATAATTTGCCGAATATATCCACTATTTTACGGCAATTCTTAGTTTTTCCGTCACTTACCAAGTTACTGTAACTTCTGAAATGTTCCCGGCCTTCCCAATCTACTCTTTTCGGTAAAAGCTGCAAAAATGAAAAAGTTCATGAATGGAAAATTTTTGTTAAATGCAACAACAACTATAAATCTGACAAAATAAAACAAAAATATTACAATAACCCCTCAAAATAAATAAATATTTAAGCCGAAAATATCGAAAAAGAGCGTCAATTTTTCCCATGCAAAATACAGTGAAATTTCAACGTACCTTGTTCTCTTCCAATTCATGTAATAAAATCTGAAAAAGAAAGCAAAACGTGTTCATTTCTTATAACATTTAAGTCGAATCAATAAATTAAAGAAACATTACATACCTCTGAGGTCTTTTTACAGGGTCCATTCGACAGAAAACGGGCGATCAAAAAATACAATTCTGAAAAAGAAAAGTCCAAAATTATGTCCTCGCTTCGTCACTTGGTCGACAAATTTTCTCCTTTCTGAGACTTCCCATTCAAAATATACTTACCTGATTCGATAGAAGGCGTATTAGAATTCGAAGAACTTGGTCGAGCCATTTTCTTCGGCTTATATTAACTGAGATAACTGGAATCTTATCTTGGAATAACTAGCTTCATGTTGAAAGACGACGCCATTTTTAGTTATTTCAAGTGAATATGAACGAGTGACCCGCGTAGGAATACAATCCGCCTTTGGTTTAGAATATAGGTCATCTATTTTTAGATTTCTGACTTCCAATCTTGAATCTGTGTCAAGTGTTGTTATCCATTTTTCGAGTGTTACATTCAAGAATAATATGTTTTTAGATAAATTTTGAAAGAAATGAAACATTATGTAGATATTTTTGAAGGAAATTCCCAATTAAGATTAAGCACTATATTTTCTCAGTTCACGCAAGTAACATGACGAGCAAGGTGCTCTGACGTCATCAATCAAGGGATAACCCCGATATCGACACGACGGAAACATGTGGCAGAAACCTAAATTATGAGAAATAAACCTGAATGAAGCGACAGAAAATCTATTTAGACAGCATTTCAGGTAATTATGCTTTGTTGTTTTAGTGCCTTACTGTGGCTACCATATTTTATTCACAATATGGATGTATTGTCATAGACAGCTTTGACAATCTTGAACTTGCAAACTGTAAACAAACTGTCTGTCACAGTAAGTGTCACAAGACAAGGTGACTGATAAATTTGACAACATTAGCCAAAATATCAAATTGCATCAGAAAATTAAATAAAGCCTATTTGCAGAAACTTCCATGATTCTGTTGTATTTAAGATACAGGGAAAAGAATGTTGATTCCTAAGGTTTTGTAAGCCTTTTAGGAAGTTAGGTATTTGGATAGGAAAAAAATATGACATTAATGACAAAAAAAGAGCAAAATGGTTCTCTTGGTTTGCCAGGCCCTATCTAATGTCATGACAGACACAGAAGACAATAAAGCAGGGGTGAAAAAGTCAAAGTGACCAATTGTGTAGAGTCCAAAATGACAAGGTACTGAAATTAAGCTGGCATGAGAGTTTCTGCAACTCGAATGGTTCCCTAGCTGTGTTCTAGAAAAATGTTACATTTCTCACTTAGCCACTCACTGAAAACTGGTCAACAAAATCAACTGTTGACTTAGACAAGTGTCATAATATCTAAAAGTGACTTAACAAAATTCTGAAATGACCTACTGTTACTGTGCAGGGCCAGACTTTGAATGTGATAATTAAATATCCTACAATTACTAGGCCTTCTCCTAGGCCATTGTAGATTCTGATTTATTACATCAAGAGTATTCATAATCATATATCCATTTTATTATCCCCACAAAAAATATGGAGAGTCTGTCTGTCCACAATTAATCGTAAACATTTTTCAGGGAAAATTTCGTGACAGATACTGACGTAACTTGTTTAATCTATGTTATCTCCCAAGAATAAATCTTATAGATATTTTTAAAAAATCCTGGTTAAATATGGTCACTTTCTGTCCAATGGCCCAAACAAAACTGTCAGTGTTTTTATGGATTTGTCACATATGTTTTATCTACCAGGTTGCCAAAGCATTAAATCTTACATGTATTTACAATTTTACAGGTGTAACAGAGTAAATCATTCTACTTTTAAAAATGTCGTGGTTCAGTACCAATAGCAGACAAACATGGCTTCAGAAACTATGTGTAAGAGTTTTAAAAGCTGGGCCAATACCCAAACATATTGCCTTCATTATGGATGGAAATAGAAGGTTTGCTACTAAAAATAGTATTGACAGAGCTCAGGGACATTTACATGGATTCAACAAGTTGGCAGAGGTAAAACTATATTTTTCTAGAACTTCAATATCTGCATCAGACGTCTGGTTCCTGTAATTCACTAAAACTATGTGTCACTAAGCTTGACACTAAGCTTATTTGATATAAGCAAATTTTGCAATTAGTGACACCTTAAACACTTGGTTTTAGTGGAATTGCAGGAAACACAGACGTCTGATTGAAAATTTGAAAGGTGACGTGATGTGATGAGGTAAATATTACTTCCAGGTCAGTTGTCTGAGGATTGCATAGAGTGAAACTATTGAGTAACAACAATTTTTTTTTTTTTTTTGTTCTATTTCCTATGTAGATTGTCAATTTTTCTCCCTTTGAAATATATTTATATGTGTAACATTTCGATTTTAATCAAAATATTTTTACTTTCTATTACAGACATTAGAATGGTGTTTAAATTTAGGAATATGTGAAGTCACAGTGTACGCATTCAGTATAGAAAATTTTAAAAGATCAAAAGAAGAAGTGGAATGCCTGATGGAAATAGCTAGACAGAAATTTTCAAAACTTCTGGAAGAAAAGTGAGTGAATATATTTTAGGTATTATCCATTAGACAAAAAAATGTCTAAGAACAGATTCCAAAGACTGGAACTGTAGTTCAGAGGGTAAAAAATTCATGAAGTACCCATCAATCGTTCACAGGCCTGAGAGAGGGGGGAAGCATTGCCCAATGGCTCACCCCCTAAATACGTTACTGTTGATGATGTCCGTCTAGTAGTACTTTTAATAGTGCTCCTCTGTTTTTATAGGGAAATGATAGAGAAACATGGTGTTTGTATCAGAGTTTTGGGGAATCTGACTTTATTGCCACTAGATGTACAAGAGATCATAGCAGAAGCTGTAAACTTCACTAAACATAATACTAGGTGAGTTAGGACCTTTATAAGCTACAAATGGTGCTGGTTTTTATGGGTTGCGAAATTTCAAAACACTCAAACTCATAATCTTATGATGGATACTTTTGCATGTACCACTATTTCTACATTAAAGATGGGTTTCCTTATTTTTTAGTGTCAAATTAAGCAAACTATTTGAACCCCATCTTTAATCATATCATCATGTTCTTATTGTATATAATTTAGAGTTTTCACCAATCATAAATGTCCATGTATGCCATGTCTGGATAAACAAATAAAGACTTTTGGACCTTTCTTGATCGGTCACTCATTGGAATTCAGCTGGTAATTCTCTTCTAATTTAGCTATTTATGAATTAATTATAAGGGAACCTATCTTTAACTGAAAGTTTCTACCCCAATGTTCAACAGTTTTAGGACATGCATATTACACACCATTTCATTACCATAATACTATTTGATTTCTTAGGGTATATCTATATATACTCATTTGTTTATTGTTTCCAAACTATGATTCTCCTAGCATTTCATTATCAACTTTAAGTTAGGAGTTCCGGATTATGAAAGGGATTGTGAAGAGTTTTTCTAAACTTTTTATGTGTATCGAATATTGTATTCTTAAATTCAATTTCTGTCAATTGATTTCTGACCAAAATGATACTTTTCTCACTAAGTCCTACAAATCATCTGTTGATTTTCTTTTTCTTTTTGTAATTTCTGTTTTTAATTCCAATGTACGACTGGATGTATTCAATGGAAATTAAATCTTTGAGACCAATTGAAAGCTATAATCATGTGTTGCTTAGTTAGTAGTCATGCCGAAATAGTATACATATCATGGGTGTCCCCTTGAAACCTTGTATAACGATATATGACGCGGAATTACTTTTCGAGAAAAACACAAAAAACTATTTGTACGCGTATTTTGATAAAATCTTCTGTTTTTTTATTTTTTTACCGCTATACGTGGCTTTTCATTCTTGGAAAATGTAAACCTCATTTAATAATTTGGATTCTCCGGCCTATTGAACCAAAAACTCGTATAATAATACAGTATACAAGGTTTTTCATTTTCATCTGCAGAAAAGGAACATTGAAAATAGTATAATAATATATTTTATGAGGTTTTAAATCTGACTGTTTATATACGTGTTATTTAATTAGTGCTTTTTGAGTTATTTACAATCAAGCTAAGAATACGATATTTTGATGACAAGATCCGCTCTTTAACGAGCTTTCGAACGGTACAAAAAATTCAAAATGACCAAATATGGAATATACAAGGTTTCAAGAGGTCACCCACGATATAGCTAGCTATGCCCCCACACCCCGTCAATTCTTCAGACGATTGTTTGAAGGGCTAGATATTAAATTGTGTAATGTGAAAAAACATGTTAACAAGAAATTAATACTTCAAAATCAAGACATATTATATAATATATTGTTTTGTATTGATACTCAAGTAAAAGGGAAGTCAAGGACACCTTTGAGAGGCTATATTAATCAGTACAAGTATCAGTTAAGTCAAGTTATCTAGTTTCTCAAAGGCTTCGTACCTCCCACTGAAGTTAAGTGATTCAACTCGCTTATATACAGAGGATATTTTTAGAATATATTTTGTTTGGTATTTAAGAAACATCTTTTTATTTATGTTATTTTCATATAATTTTTTACTAGTATGATTTTTTTTTTGAAATTTCAGCCTCAAATTTTAATCAAATTTTGTGCACATGCACTTTTTTTATGACCAATGTCTCTAAGGGTATTTAAATTTTTCATGAAAGGCGTATTGATTTCCAAACACAGTTACTTCCCCTTTCTGTCTAGTGTAATAAGTATAGCAGCTTATGCTATAGTACAAAGAAATCTGTTCTAGTTATAAGTGTACATTCTGGGTATCTAATTTCTCATGCATTTAGAAATGAATAATTAAAAATTGCAGGATTGGAAAATATCAGAAGACTTTAGTTAGTTATTTATCCCAATTTTATTTTCAAAAAAAATTCATCCAAATGTTATTTTCAAAAAAAACTCATCCAAATGTTATTTTCAAAAAAAACTCATCCAAATGTTATTTTCAAAAAAAATTCATCCAAATGTTATTTTCAAAAAAAACTCATCCAAATGTTATTTGCAAAAAAAATTCATCCACATGTTATTTGCAAAAAAAATTCATCCAAATGTTATTTGCAAAAAAAAAAACTCTTCCAAATGTTATTTGCAAAAAAAATCCACATTTAGTTTGGTAAAAAAAATTCATCCTAATGTAATAAACAAAAATAAGCACATGATGCAAATTGATGATATCAGTATTCCCAATTTACATAAAAAGTTGAGAAAGTTTTGTTTCATAATAACATATGGTGGTTATGATTGAATAAACACTGTATATACACAAAATATTATAGTTGAATGAATGTAGTTTAAATCTGTTTTAATATAGGTCACTTCACAGTGAAAAATAACTTAATATGCTTAACATATAAATAACATTGATTTCTATACCCTTATTATAATATTCTAGATATGAATTTTTATAAGCCCACATTATAATGTGGTCCTATAGTGCTGCTGCCCCTGTTCGACCATCCGTCCATCCACAATTGGCTTGTGAACACAACAGAGGCTACAGTTTTTATCTCATTTTAATGGAATTTAGTGTAAATCATCTATGACAATGAGATCTTGGTCAAGTTTGAGTTTGACAATTTTTAGATGAACCGAATTTGAGTTATTGCCCTTGTCTAACTGTCCTAGTAAAAACACATAAAATTTTGTGAATGCAATAGAGGTGACAGTTTGTCAGAATTTTACTAAATTTTGTGTTTGTTTAAATCGACAATATCTTGGACAAATTAGGTTTTTTTATACAATTTGACACAAATTGGTGACCACCCTTGATATTCTGAAAATGTATCAGTGAAGTGGGCGTATCTTGCTAGGCAACTACTTGTAAGTTACCAGTATGGTGCATTGTACAAAGTTGCATGTCTAGGGCATTGTCACAATGTCAAACAAGAGCTGCATGTAATACCTTGACTGCAATAGCCACTTTTCTTTCATATATGACAGATGATTGTTAATGCATATGTAATTGAGGGCGATGATTTGCTGTATTCTATAGTATACAATCCAATCATAGTCCTCAATTACAGTTTTTACAGACTTTCTGATTGACTGTATTTCACTAGTATACAGTCCATTTTCCGTGATACAAGAAAGGTGGCTATTGCAGTCCGGGTATTAGAAGTCGTAACAGTCCGAAATTGTGAAGAACCTTAAAGTGGCTCATGCAAACATGAAATAACTGAATTTCCAATGACTGCTTTTCCCTTTTCTTTTCAATGCCTGGTATTGAGTGTACAGCTGACTTTGTTGTAGTGCAGGTGCTCTACTTTATAACACATAAATTATCAGATCTATCTGAAATGGCTTTTTTAACAATTCTTGATATATGCTTTTTAAAAACAGTTGAAAATATATTGATTTGGTTTATTTTCAGGGCAATATTAAATGTTTGTTTTTCGTATACATCTCGTGATGATATTTGTACAGCTATGAGAGAGTTAGCTAGTGGTGTTAAACAAGGTCACATTAAACAAAGGTATCTACAATTTGTCATTTTGGGACGCAATTTCTTGTTCACATCAAAAACTGTAGTACAATTACCGTCTTGCCGCTGTCCAAGAAAATGTTCCTCATTGCACACTACACCAGGAGGACAGAAAACTCCATTTCATATATTGTCTTGATTGGTATTAGTTGATTTATTAGGAATATGATTATTGTCCCTACCCATGCTTTTCAGAATTAATCCTCAAGTTCATCAAAAATAACTTTCCATCAATAATTGCCTTGGATTGGATATAAAATTATTGCATGGTTACTTTCATTGTTCTTTACTGAAAGGGCAGGCCCTTGGTTCTCAAAAAGTCAAAAATATTTGATTAAAGAATACTAGTAGGATTTTTGGTGAAACAGTGCAGAAGATAAGAATTAAAAATGATCATCACATATGTAATATTCTATTTCAGTGATATAAATGAAAGAGTATTAGAAAAATGTTTTTATACCTCACAATGTCGGAAAGTTGATTTATTAATTAGAACATCAGGAGAAGTCAGATTGAGTGATTTTCTACTCTGGGAGGTATGTATTTAACATATATTTTCATTCTTTAAAGAAGGAAATATAATCATGTTTATCCCAAGGGTCAAAGGACACATTAATTTGTCTATTATGAACTGTTATAAGTCTTGACTTGAAAAATCCTAAATTTAATCAATCTTAGCACATTAGTTGCTGTCACACCATAGTGATCATCAGTTGCATATAGTTATGAATAGAAAAAGTTGTCTCATGCTACTGAATTGTGAGTAACGCCTGGAAAAAAAAGCAACTGTCTGTTGATCGCTGTGATGTGAGGGCTCCTTATCACTCGATTTAGATTAATTTTTCGTAACCACAATTGCCAGCACAGCTTATGTTTTTGTCTGTATTGTAAAACTTGTATTTTGGTTTGAAATTTTATATCTATGAACATTTTTATATAATACCTCAAGGTTAGAATTAGTCCGAAACATCTGCCTCTATTCCAGCCTCTGTTAGCCATTGTGAAAGTTGTCAGCTGGAGTAGGGTCAGTAAAACTAGGCCCTGTTTAATGGAGATTTTCTGCACCTCTTAAGATGCTGGTTTTCTTAGACATATATATTTACCTCTGACCCTCATCCGATAACTGTTAAAATGGCTATCAGATGCTGGAATAGAGGCAGAAGTTTTGGGCTAGGTAAAAGTGAAAATAATATAAATGTATTTTACTATTGTAGTCTAGTTATGGGGTGTTAGCGTTTGTTCAAGTTTTATGGCCAGAGTTCAGTATTTGGCATCTTTATGCTGCAGTCTTACATTATCAACGTAATTCACAAGCTGTGGGGGTAAGTTAATATTGTTTTAATGAATTAGTTTGTCAAATTAGATTGAGAAACACTCTTTAGGATGTTTTATTAATACTAGCCTAGCTCTCATAAAGTATGTAAGAAATATTCACAAATATTGATTACAGCTGAGGTGGCTTGGGGAGATAATGACTGCTAGCTAGCCTGAAGATCCAGGCATAGATCGAGAAAAAACCATCAGATTGTTCAACTTGATTTTCTTCTTCCAGTTTCACCTTGTCAGTTAAGTGAGTTGGAGGGGCATACATGGAAAAGGGCCTTGTTAAATATCACTTGACAGTTGTAAATTTTAATGAGTGATTTTGATGTTGTTGTTCTGAAAAATTTTCTCATTCCACCCTGCATGGCATCGCACATCTACATGAGGTGCAGAAAAGTAGGATGTAAAAAATTTTTATTTTTCAGATTGCTCGTGATAATAATGAAGTAGAAATTGAAAGATTACAACAAGAATCAGACCACAGCTGTGTTTTACAAGAATTAGAGCAGACACAATTAAAGGGAGATAACTCTATAGAGAACTTGAACCTTCAATCTAGAATAATTGAATATGCTGCTTTGCGCGAAAAACGAACCCAGGATTTTCTAAACTTGCTGGAATGTAGAAGAAAAACATATTTTGAGGATCTAGATAATAATCGTACTAAAGAGAGATGCAAGTGTTAAAAAATATTGGACTTTGAAATTCGGTGTGAGGATGGAGACAAAGTGAGCCTGTCAGACGAAATAGAAAATTCACTTCCTTGTGAATAGATGCAGATTTCTTAAATTCTTATGGCAACTGTGTTACTTAACAGATAAAGTAATCTCATTTTCATTTTCTCATTAGTTTGAGAAACTAAGCTAATCGATCTTTCGTCTGGTTGTTTTTGTAGTATCGTTGATTGTTGACATGCCAGAAGTATAATTTTCTTTATGAGAAATTAGTTTTATAACAAGGTACTATACTAATACAGACCATATCATGTAAACTGTCTCCTTTCAAAATGGAATATTTCAGGTTTCATTATAAGAATTCCAGTATCCCTGTTTAATTAATCAGGAAACAAGATCATCAATCTGCCTTATTTTGGCTCTGAACTGTTGGTTAAAGCTAGTTATTGTATACTATAAACAGTTTTGAAAAAAAATATCCAGATTTGTATCTATATGGTTGAACATATTTTTAAATTATATATGTAGATAGGGATATATTATATTTAAAAATAAATAATTCTATATAGGGCATTTATTTATATTTTGAAATAACCCAAGGGAAATAAATGTCACACTGATACTAGTGTATATCAAACCACAGGCACCTGTTTCTATCAATAAACGACTCTCTTTATAATAGTATAAATACAATATACATATATAAACTATTATAGAGAGTCATCTATTGATAGAAACAGATGCCTGTCTTTCAAGACTGGCAGATGATACTGTAACAGCCCATTAGATGGATGGATAACAGCTAGAAAAACTTGTCAAAAGGCAAAATGAAATTGAGTACTTTTTGAAGGCAGGCAACACCATGCAGTGTGGGAAATTTGGCCAGGAAGGCGACATAAGTCTATTCTTTTTCATTTTTAACTGCAGAGATATCTTTAACCTGGGCAGCCTGTAGTACTTAGGGTAACGCTTTATTGTCCAAACTGAATGACTAGAATTTTTTCTAGGTCAAATCCCTCTGACCAGCATCACTGACAGGGGGAAATACAAAGGTACTGGAATTAAACCCTGGACCTTTCTGACACAGAGAAGATTATACAGAGCCTTTAGCAAATAAATCTGACTAGTGCTTTCATTAAGACTCGAGTCTCAATACATCCTAATTCTGATCACCGAATTCCTCTTCATTAATAGATAAAAATGGTAGAACAGACAATGCATATAAACATTGGCCAAAACAAAACAATTACATAAATATTTTTTATTAAAAATTAAATACAAAATTCTTCATAGACTCAATAAAGTTACAATAACAATTCATTCATAAATAATCCCATTATTTCAAGACAACCTCTGATAGCAATATCATAACTTATCCTAATGAATAATTTCTCTATCATGTTTAATTGTTAGTTTTCATACATGCATTAGTACAAACAAAAATTTCAACTTGTCTGTAGCTACTAGAAAATTTAATCAGATTTTCAAAACTATTGATAACCATGCAAAAATCATTTTTCATTCCTTTTTCACACTATTTTTATTCTTTTTTTTTTTAAAAATATTTTTTACATAATTTTAAGCATTTTATCATTCCCTTTCACAATTTTGTGGTAAATGGTCTGTAACATGTCAAAATGGGAATATACAAACATATGTTTACATAAAATAAGGTTGCAATAATGGGGATGCCATATATATACTGAATGGGTTGATTGTTTAAAGACGGGTTCCATTATTTTTATTTATGAAAATGGAAATGCTAATACTTATATGAATAGAAAATAGAGGTCTTCTTATGACTTGGAAAAATACCAGTTTGTCTCACATGTCCATTATTAATTCATAATTAGCTAAATAAGAAGAGAATTGCCAGCTGAATTTGAGTGAGTGGCTGATCAAGAAAGGTCAAAAAGTCTTTTTTTGTTTATCTGGACTGTATATACATGGATTTTTATGATTGTTTAAAATCTCTTTATTATATGCAATAAGAACATAATGATATGATTAAGAATACATGATAATTCATTAGAAACACCAATTATTCTGGAAACCCATCTTAAAACAGGATGGTATCAAAGACCCAAGTCTAAGCTTTTTCTATCTGTGTATAGTACATTATACCAAATACACTACAGAGAAACCATGAAGACGACACCCACCACATAACGAAAGACAACAATCCACGATACCATACTGGTGTAAAAACATTACGCAAATTACTTACTGCCCATGTGAAGTGGGCTGCAGTATTGGCAATACTGTCTGTACCGTTACTTACAGGGGCAGCTGTCATTGAACCAGATTTGTGCACATTTTTAACTGACCACAAATGGGTCACCTGATCTCCAAAAGGTGCAGTCCATGTATAGTCACCCAGAGTTTTCAATAAGAAAGATAGAAATAGTATAAGTATGGCTGGTGCCATATACTGTAAAGTCACAACACATAAGTAATAGAAGACTCGTGAAACCGATTTCTGAATTTCCAAACTATTGATTCTTCCGCCTTCCTTCTTCAATGCCTCGATTTTTTCATGTGCCATATTCAGATGAGATTGCATATGAGTTGGTAGTAGTAGCAGACGCACAATAAAGAAGAATGCCACTAAAAATAGTCTGACACTGTCGAATGATTCATCAGTCATTAAAGCATCACTGTACATTCTTCGCTTACAGAAGATGTCTCGAGCAATGGGTCTAGCCCATGTTAAACAGATTATCAATGGCAGCACGAAATTTGTGTGTAAAAGAAATTGACGGAATCGAGATTCTTTGGCGTATTTAAGTGAATCCAAATGTAGTTTGGCCATCCTCAATCCAGGGAAAGTCAATAAGGCACCAAGGAAAGAGCATAAAAATGCTAAAAATATTTTGAATGTTAAAAAGGACACAGGTCCGTGAGACTCAACACCTTGTTGTTTAAGAAATTCTAAGGCATTTCCTGAAAAGTTGTTGTAGCCATCTTCCAAACCAAATTCCAACACCAAGTCACTGATCACCAAGACACCCATTCCCATGACTAGGAAGAAGAATCCAAAAGTAACACACAAGACCCTCTCTCCACCTTCTTCAGCGCGGAAGTACATGGCTGTCTGAGACATAAGACTACGTAAACAGAATCCTAGAGCTAACAGACACCATAACACACTGACATTAAATTCAATTCTATGGGAAGCAACAGCATAGTAAACTTCTGTTAAAATGTAAACAACAACAGCGCTAATGGAAAAGTCCATCAGCCACTGAAAATCTGTAAAATATTTTAGATGAACCAAGTCTGCTGCTTGTACTTTGGCTGTATCTAGTTGAATTGGCAAATTTCTAGGCACTGAGAAGCCTTCATCCTTTTTAGCATTAGTTGTATTAATTTTCTTGTCATTGCGTTTCCCTCTGCCCTTGCTGCTGCCTGTGGGAATTCCAGCTAAAGTTTTGAGTTCATCATCAGTTGGATACAGATATCGAACTAACTTCTCACACAACAGCCATTGTCCAAAGGAATAATAAGGTGCCAATTTGTTCAGAAAACTGAACATTACCAGACTAAATACAAACTGTACTCCAAGCACCGCCATCTTGGCTTCTGGTTGGAATTAATCTTTCTCTACAGTTAATGAATCTGAAATGAGAAAATAGTAGGAACTAAGCAACCTAGCTCTGGTTAATTTCAGGAATGCCTCAAAAGCAATAATAAAGTAACATTTTCTATCATCTACTGAACTGAGTTTCCATCCACCAAAGCCAAACTATTGTTCCATTTTTTATTAGCTTTTATTTTAAATATATAGCTACTTAAGTTAGGGTCTAAAGACTGGCCTCTTAAACATCCTAATCTGATGACATCTGCATTAACCAATCAAATTCCTTGACTCTCACAAAATGCCAGCCTGAAGAAGGCAGAAATTTGATTGCTTGGCTCCTTTCAGAGCAGGATTAGGTCAAAAGCCTTAATAATTTTATGAAGTATACAATGTGTGTATGTAAGAATGAAAGTACTGAACACAATAAATTATCCATAACTAACATTCCAACATGTTTTTATCTACTTCCAATGACGACCACATCTTGTATAGAACATAGTGTGGCGCTTTCAGGAAGTTTCTGAAGGGATCTTCTGAAGATATGTTTTCAATTATAACTCTTTTTTTTTCTAAATCAAGACAATGTCTTGGATGAACACTAATTTTGTTCACATTTGTATGAAATGGTACACATCTTTTGAGCAAATTTGTCACAAGCATTTATTTAAATATACTTAACTTAAATCAATCTAGAGTAAACATACAATTTTTTATAATTTTTATACTGAAATTTACTTAATAAGAACTTCACCTACACAGAGATATTCATTATTGAACTTTGACCTGTACTCTTAGATAGAAAACTTATAACTAATGTTTAACATGATTACACAACTAATAAGCATAATAATTGGCACCAGGTGGCTGATCAAACTTGTTTTCAAAAAAAATGCTGTCAGCAGATGCAGAATGAATTCAGACCAGAGCTCTCAAAATCACTGTGTCTAAATTTATAGACTAAATGTTGTTTGTGGAGGGTAGTGCTGGGTATCAATTAATCAATTTGAGATCGATTAGTAATCGATTGAGATGGCAGACTATCGATCAATAATCAAATAATAATTGAAAATTTATCATTAAATAATTATAAATAGATTTATAGGATTTTAATCATTTATACAGGATATAATTTAACACTTACTTTAGCAAATTTGCAAAACAAATATTTTTTGGCACCATGAATGCAAAAACAGAACATACAATTTACTGACATTTACACTGAGTGAAATATAGAATAAAAGATGTCTTTAGTTTTACTGGTAAAAAGTGTTTGATTGGATTTGCAATGAAAATTTTATACAATAGAAAATCAAAAACAAATCCAACATTTTTTTTATCTACTTCCAATGACGACCACATCTTGTATAGAACATAGTGTGGCGCTTTCAGGAAGACCAAGTCCCACTTTCTGATATTGAACTAATGGTATCCAAAATCATATCCATAACTTAAGTATTGTACCATGACTGATATATGCATTTACTATTAACCCATAGATTACCATAGTATCAACTACTCTCTGGCCACATCAAGTTCTAAATCACATTTTGGCTATCATTTTTGTATGAATTGAAATCTCCAAATATTGCTGAGATTCTTAGATTGTCTTTGGGTTGATGAAAATGCCAACCATTGAAAACAAAATTATTTGAAACTATGATTTTACAGAGAGTGATTTTCAGTTCAAAATGTTTCATTTCACATCAAATTTCTTGAAGAGAAGTGTGTTCAATTCAAGTGCAAAATTTTCAAAACTTATATATTCATGGACCCAAAGGCATTCTAAGACAATTGGTATGCACTTGAAAATCATATTTTGAATAATTGTGACATGAGAGAAAAAATTCAATTTAGAACTCAATGTGGCCAGAGACCAGAGAGTAGAACTTTTTAATTCCTATCTCTAGAATCCTTCAAATCAGCGTATCATTTGCTCCACAAATGAAATTAAATCTATATGAAATTATATGTATTTTCAACATTTTTAAAATTCTAGGCTATGTAAGCAATTCTTACCAAAAACGCAGCAAATAAAGTCACTCCATGACCAACAATAAGCTTATCCCTATAGTGGCTACAGTGTTTCAGAGACCAACTACTAGCCACATCATAATTCTAGGTGATTATATTGCCCTAGGCAATTATGATGTATTGATGAGAAAGAAAAGGTAACAATAGGTTGTGAATGTCAATAAACAATAGGTAATATAACTAAAGGGCAATATTGTTTAGATTATATAACAGATAGGCCAATCGGGTATAATTGATGTTTTAGTTATAAGTAGTTGTACCCTATATCAACATGCGCGTGCCTTACCAGAAAGCACTAGCCATGGTGCATCAGATTTTTTCTTAATTGGCATTTGGAGGAACTAAACCAGCACCTCATTATTATCAGAGTGCAGAGACAATTGCAATTTTTTGAAGACTTTCGCACATTTACTTTTACTGTTTTTTGACCCTTGGAGAGACACCTTTCATTTTGGCTCCTCCTCAAACATTTCCTAGGTACTTCATTGAATGAAGCTCTGACACCAAGAATGGTCCTTATACAATTCTTGTTGCGCTTGAGCAAAGCAGACCAGGTGCTTGGTCAAAATTCTCCATTTTTTGTGGCCAAACTCAGTGAACTATTAGATCTATGACTTAAGCCAAAAGCCTAATGCTGAGTATGCAGACGTTTGATCGAGCTTGATGCGCTTGACTACTTTGTTGAGTCGACTTTCTCATTTTGCACTTGATCTCACGGCATGGTCAAATAAAAGAAAGTGGAAAATATACCATTCCGACAATTTCAAGGTGAATAAGCGTGGTTCTCTTCTCGGCTACATCACCGGAAATGTTCATTGCGCACACTCCGGTGTAACTTCCGCTACATTCCAGTTAAAAATAGAAAATCAATCACTGAAGAAATAGAGGTGTTATTTCTTGCAAATTGATCACTTTTATTTACTGTTGATGAATCTTATTTAGAATATAAGGTACTAATTGATTTGTAAATAATTTTTGGGGTAATTTTTAAAGTATGTGTTTTCCTGTGGAAGAGAGAGAACGCTACAGAGTGGATTCATGATTTCTCTCTACTCTGCTGTCACTGTCAATCACAATGTCAACAAAAATTTAGGCCCCATTGCAGATTATGTCTCAAACTTGTCAATAATGATTATGGGTCCTACTACTATTTGGGTCCAAGTTCAGTTCATAACATACAAGTTCATCCTTTTATCTGCCTTTTCATTGCACTGCAATTTGTATGTAGTCTAGGAAGCCTTAGTTTAGTAAAAACTGACTATTCTAAACCTACTACCTGGCCATGGCTCAAAACAAGTAGACTAGCCAAGACTAATGAAAGTGTCTTTGTTGTCAGTCTTGTGTGCTTTTATTGAAAAAACAATTTTCAAGAGACTGGTATTAATTGGAGTCCTTATAAAAATAACATTTTTTCATGCAGTAAGCTTATTTTCCCAAGACGTTATGTCAAAATGTCAGATCTAGTGCTGAAACATACATGATATGGTCTATATCTAGGCAATCACCTCTTATTAGTTTTTATCTCAGAGATATCCATATATGCCGTATTGCTCTATGGATATCCAGTCAGTCCAAATAGCAAATGGTTTGGGTACCATACTATCATAGGCAGTGGGGTGAAAAATGTTTTCAACAGTTGGGACACTGACATTAAAAACTGAATCTATAGATTGATGTCAAAGTGAGGTTTCTATGGAAATGTTTGTGGCCTGTGATCTATAATATTGTTTTAAATCAAATTAATGACATGATTACTGTTAATCTCTGGCTTAATTAAGTCGATTAATCCAGGATTAACTATGTAAGAAGACTTTAAACTTGAGTGGATTATTTGTTTTTCATGGTCATTCTAATGTTTTGATTTTGTTTCACAAAATATTTTGAGATTTCTAAAGGACAATTTAGTTGTGTTATTTGGATATCTTGTGGATTTTTACTTTTATTTCATTTGATAATTCTTGATATAAACTTATTAGGCTTATAGATTTTTAAGTGTTCACTTTGTGAAGGTAATGTAACTAGTGTGTTGATTTTCTTAATATGATTGGATTTTTAAAGCCTAGTGCTTTTGAGTAACGATATTGGACAAGGATACTATGATAATGAATAATAAAAGCTTAAGTGCACAAGGTCTGTGCCTTAATCATGAATTTCTGATGTATTTCAGTTCTCTGTTCTAATGGCAGATGATGCCATGAACCGTAAAGATAAAGACAAAGATAAACCATTTTATGCTTTATCAGAATCCGATAAAGCTCCATCTAAGATTATCAATGAAGCTAGGAGTTCATTACGTACTATAGTCACTAGACGACCTTTCACCCCTAGAGATGACAAGAGAACACTTTTTCCTGCTTCCACTTCCAGGAACCCAGAATCCAGACCAGCCAGCGCTTTCAGGTAATGCCCTCACTGAAATATCTGCCCTAAATTAGATGAAGACATACAGGTTACAGAAAACTCTATGAAGGAGACTGAGATTCAGACTCAGACACAGAACTCATGTAGAAAGCTTGTTAGATTACAATGGAGACAAAAAATATCAGAATAAAAAAGAAAGAAAATTGTCTTGGGTCTTGAGACTAAGATTGTAAGCCTACATCATACATCATAATAAAGACAGATTTTTAATCTTTGTACATTTCAGTTTGAATTCTAAACATTTTGATGGTACTGAATCTCGTCCTGTTTCTGGTACAAGATTAACTCCCTTAGACTTTGTAAGTTTTGCCTTTAATTAGTTATTTTACCTTTATTTCCTGAATACATATCCTTCATCGTCATAATACATTGGTCTTTACGTTAAGATGCTTAGTCATGTATGTGTATTGGTTAAACTTATTGCTTCTTTTTCCCGTCCAACTTCTGTTGTTTATTGAATAATTCATGGCTAAATTATGATGTTGCTATCAAATTTGTTCAAGTTTTTCTAAACTTACAGGACGACATTTGTCTAATGGGCTAGTAAAGTGGCGTTTCTATTACTCATACAAAGCTACTAAACTTCTTCACAATCCCTTCCGTTGATTGCAAATTGAGTGTTCAATAAGTCTTTTTATTCAAATTTATTTTGCAGACGCCAAGATTGACCCAAGCAGAATTAGAGAACTGTTTACCACCACGTCCACCAGAGTCTGGTAGACCTCCATCACGTAAAGGTTCTAGAACTAGGATACATGTTGATACAGATAGAGATCAGTTACCTATAATACATCGTGGCAGGAGTGGTTCTATAGATACATCACGTAAGTAAATGAAAACAGTCATGGAAATTTTTGCATAATCAGCAAGTAGAGTACAGGCTGTCCACAGCTCTAAGATTCAAGGGGAAATCCTAAAGAGCCCTTAGTTAGCCCTCTAAATTTAGCAATTTATGATTTGCCAAATAGTGCTGGATATTCTGAAAGAATTATTTCCATTTACTTTTGGGATAAAAATCTGATTTCTACCATTTTCTTTGATAAATCGTCTCTTTTATAGCAAATCATGACACAACATTTTCACCAAGCCCTCCTGGTTCAGGAAGTCGAAAGAGTACCAGTGGACCAACTGGGAGAGAGAGGACCCCACCATTCATACCAGAAGAGAGAGGGGTGGGTGATGGTAGAGAGATGCCTGCTACTAGAATATCAACTTCCTTAGGTGTTCACAGTCCTCCCTCTAGGTAAGGAAACCCTTCTGAGACCAGTGTTTTCACAGAATTTAGGAATGCCTTGTAAACAATACTATTGACTCTCAAAATTTTTACTTCATAGATTAAATGCATGTGATTGGTACTTCAAGATTCTAATATCAACTAATGAAATTTTCTAGGAGCTAGTAAACATTCAGGGATTTTTTCTCCATGTATATCAGCAACACTTTAATGTATGCCGATACATCTCCTTTATTTTTTATCCAACCCAATGTATCAATAAGAAGGAAAGAATCAGGGGTTATCAATTCATTGGTGAATCATTGCAGCCCTAGTAATTACAGAAACAACAGATGTCAGACATTATCACAATGTCAAGAGAGAAAGACTGTAAATAGTAAGCTTATGGCTTCTGTTTACAGCCCTTATATCAAATGAAATCGCAGCATTTTAAACTTTTACAACTAAGTTAGTAATACCTTTACAATGTGAAAATGGTATGTGTTCCCAATACAAATACTATGGCCAGAAAATATCTTCAGAATCCAGGTCAATTTAGTGAATTGTTATGTTTTCTTCTAGTGCTGGTAAGAAAGAAGATAGTCGTGTCAGCAGTGCAGGTTCTAGAAAATCATCTAGTAGTAGAACAAGTAAGATTTGATTTTAACTTAAAAAGCATTAATTGTCTTTTGCTTTGAAACTAAAAAGTACTTACAATGGGAACTTCAAAAGGAAACCCACAATCCGAAATAACAGTTAACAGCAATACTATTGCTAGCAGCAAATGAACTTTTCTTATGAGGAAGTAAGCTGATATCAATTAAAAATGAGGTATTTGATATACACATCTGGGCACTATCAAAACATAAGAAACGGTCCACTTTATTTTTAAGGGTATAAAAGGTAAAGCATTTGAAGCTCGACTAGTATTTTGTGTATATGTTTACGAAGAATATTTATTACTTTCAGGTAGTGCCAGTAGAAAAGATTCAGAGGAAAATGATGATCTTTATTTTGAAAAATATTGTCAGCCTTTATTAGATGAAATGGCTGCACTTGGAAAAAGTGAGTTCACTCTTTCACCAATTTTCGTTTTGGCTAAGATTTGCTTACTACCATGAACATGGTTTGACTAGCAATTGATTGATTAGAAAAATTTGAAAAAAAAACTCTTCATGTGTTTTTTTTTGTGCTCAAATTAACAATTTTTCAAACATGTTTCAGTGATTATTTTTTATCCTCATTTAACCAATGGTAATAACTATATTATTTATTGTTCTGTTCATTTTCATAGTTTTATTCTTTTCTGTTTGAATTTGTTTAATTGTTTATATTTGTGGTTTGTGATTGAAAAATTTTAGATTTAATAATATAATTCTATATGAAATAATAAATTCAAATGAGTGATTGTATGATGAATTATAAGCTATTGAGCTCATCACTTTGGCTGTATCTACCAATAAAATTGTATAGCTTTTTTGTATTCTCATTTACTTCTTCAAAATTTAATCTTCAGACAACTGACCTATTTTCAGCCTGCATCCCTACTGAAGTGAGACAAGTAAGATTTATTTCGAGGCACGTTCGGAAGGTTTGTTTAAAGACTTAAGAGTCAAAAGATATGACCTGTGTTTAACTGTTTATCTGAAAAGCTCTCTATCATTAATGCCCCTAAGGACACTTCTACACAAACGCTTCGAACTTGTCTCGAAATGTAGACATGAGATTAAGTTTTACTTGTCTAACTTCAGTAGGGACGCAGGCTGAAAATAGGTTAGTTGTCTGAAGTTCGCATAGCTTGAAACTCTGTGTAACAACATGATTCATGTTCTGTTTTGATATTTCTAAATTTGATTAAAAAGGTTTTTGTTTTTTTGATTTTTTCAGAAACAGATTCTGAGAAATTATTACAGCTAGCTGAAGAACTGTATCAAACTCTAGAGAATGAAGGTTTACTTAATAAACATTATAAATATAGATCTATTATATTAAAAGCAATATTTAAATTATTAGATGTTGAAGAACCTAAAGTTTTACTCATGTTCTCAAGACTTATTTTAGGGGTAAGTGATTTAAAGGAGTACTACCTCTTAGAATAAACATAAAATTCTTAAACTTGGCCAGTTCGAATATAATATCAAAAATCATCAGTGGACTTACCTGGTGTCATAACTTTACAACAGAATCCCTTTTTAATCCAATAAATCCATAAATATAAGTAACTATGTCTTTTGCCCTCTCCATGGCCCTATATTTTGTTCTGCAGATGTGATTGATGGATGGGATACTGGCACATAAAATGTCACTTTTTAAGGGAGTTGCTTCAACCGGCTTTTGGGAAAGTGACATTTTATGTTTGATCTTAAATGTGCAGATATCCCATCAATATATCACATCTGAGATAAAGGTAGAGCTAGATTTGTTACACTAACTATTGAGAGCTGCAGAAAATGATATCGCTTTATAGAGAAACTAAGACAATGATATTATTGTATTTCTATTACAGTTTAGAGTAACCAGTAAGAATTTAATTAATGTATGTAAATTAGTATTTAAAGTGGCTAGAAGTGATAAAAATGATAATGAGTTCTTGGATGGCAGAATCACAGGTAATAAAGATGTTCTTTCAACACTAGTATCTAACAATTACTGGTCTCTTATCATCTTATATTGCACTCTGTATGGTGTTGCTAGTCTTTCAAAGCCAAAAAGAGAGGCGAAAGGTAGAATGTAGGTAGAACTCGCCCCTTCATGATAAGTGACATCATCAAACACTTTGTTTTAGTAGAATTGCAGGAACCACCGAAGTCTGATTGAAAATTAGAATGGTACAAATTGATACTATTAGTTTGCCTGATACACATAAAAAATGAAGAAAACCTCTTTACAATCTCTTTAATTGACTTGAAAGCAATATTTATACCTACCTACCTACTCAACATCTGATTTGGAAATGCTTAATTTTTTCTTCAGAACTGTTACTAGAGACCATAAAGACAGTAGACCATGAAAGTAATAGTGAAGCATTAGTATATTGTGTTGGCGCTATTAAGTTTTTAACTGGTAATAGTATTATAGTCAAACAGCTAGCTCGTAAAGAAGCTATTGAAATACTGACTAAATTACTACACAATATTAATAAAACTGTAAGTACCAGTACAATACTTATTGGTTGCTTTTCTACTAATTAGTTACATGTTCTGCTTGAATGAAAGTATATTATTATATTAGTTGACATATCAAGTCTTAGAGTGGCATCAGGTTTTCTGGAAAAGATGAGCATATCCTTCCTTCTTGTTGGCAATTTGGTGATAATGATATACTGTGGACACTAGTTTATTATTTAAATTTGTGCAGTTTAACAAATTTCAGGATAGTTAAAACATGTCATACAAGTCATAATTAGAGTTATGTCCCTTCCCATTTGAACACCTGTCAAATGTCATGTAATGGTATACAACACATGATAGATACGCATGGACTTAATTATCAGCAATTGGTAAGCGCATGAAGCACTTAATGACCGTTGTTTTACAAACACAGCAATTCTCCCTCTGTGATAATGGGTATAAAGATCTTTTTTTTATTTTGTAGAATCGTGAACAAGAAAAAGTAAATGAACAGTTTGGTCATATTCTTGTTCAGGTAAGTTTTTTTATGTACTCTCCCAAGGATTTTATAAGATTCAATAGAATCTGTTAAACTAGTTAAATTATGATATTTTATCTTCAATAAACTATTTTGTAACATGTTATTAAATTTATTTTTCAGTTAGTGGCAGCTATGAGAAATTTAGCTGATGTTGGTTCTAGTCGAGAACGCATGTTTAAATCTAAGTTTATTGAAGAGTTACTGCCCTTGATAGAAACCTATCCTGGTGATAGTGATTTGATTATGTATACATCCAGAGTGTTAAGGTAAGTGATTTTGATTTCCCATGATAAAACTGGCCCATGAAAGCACGGTTTCACTGAAATCATTCAGATTACAATTTGTTGAGATTTGCAATTTTGCAAATATTAGGGACAGAACATATTTTTTGCCAGATCTTGTTGCTTAAAATTGACAACCAGCCCGATCACAATGGAAAAGCGAATTTTTGAGAGCGTATGTCACTCAGCAGATTTTTACAGTTTATCATGTGATTTTTGTATTTTTTTCTTTCAGTAAAATAACAATGCATACAGATTGTGTAACAGTATTATGTGAACAAGCTAATTGTTTCAAGTCTTTCATTATGTTAATCAATAAACATATTCAAAAAGAGGTGAGTTCTGTTCTGTATACTACTGATTTTTACTATTTGCATATCTTTGGCCATTTTTTATATTGCCCACATTATATATTGGTGTCACCCATGTCTGTCCACAAATGCTCGCCTTAATTTTTGACAGATTTTGACTTTTTATTTGTTAATTAACCAAATGCTTTCTATTTTGTAATTTTTATCATGTGTTTTTATCATTTATAGACAATCATTTTTATTTGTAGAACTTAGTAGTGAGATTATGTTTTGTATTTGTTTTTATTTATAATGTTGTATTTGTTTTTGTTCACAGAGCTTGGTTTTTATTTGTTTTGTTTTTTTCAGTATCTAGCATTGAGACTATTTTTGTTATTGTTTTTATTTGTTTTGTTTTTCAGAACTTAGTATTGAGGTTATGTTTTGTATTTGTTTTTGTTCATAACCTGATGGAAAGATTATGATTTGTATTTGTTTTTATTTTCAGAACCTAGTGGTGAGATTATGTTTTGTATTAGGTAATATAACAGCTAAAAGAGATGAAGCTCGGTTAAGACTATACAAAGAAACAGAAGCCATGAACACATTCCTTACAGTATTAAAAACATATCATTCCAAATTTAAACAGGTAAGAACATTCAAAGTTGATTCCCAAAGCGTATGAATAACCAATGTTAAGTCTCTGTAAATGCAAAGAAAAAAGGATTGTAAAGGATGTGCTATATCTAAAAGAAGATATAGGAACACTTCAAGTTCTCTCTTTTGGAGCTGTTAATGAATCAATTGATGATCATAAGCTATGGAAAACCTAATAACACAGCAAGTCTGTATGCAAAAAAAAAATGTCTGACATACTTTACTAATGGAGCATAAGAAGCTCAACAGTCCTAGTTCCAAGAATATCTTAAAAAATTTATTGTATCTGTGGAATACACCAATCACCACCATACCACATTTATGACAACTTGATCCGATGATTTTTTTGGAGAAACGGACTCTGCTTTCTCATTTCTTGTCTTAAGGCTGTTTGAAAATTATTTCATTCCCTATATTTTTTCTGTAGCAACAGAATGGTTATAGTGATAAGAGACCAGAGACAGATAATGATAGTAAAAATAAACAGGGTGATTATGAAGATGTATTGATAAAAGTTATACGTGTGATAGCTAATTTATCTATTAATGAAACATTAGGACCAATGATAGCTAGTAATGGAGACTTGGTACAGATATTACTCTTACTATTAGGTATGTTTATGTATTATTCTGTAGTTATTGCCCTTGTCTTGTCATAATTTGTATAACTCAAATAATTTTTCATAAGACTTGATGTTGTATTTGAATGAAATATTCATTTTATTAGCCTCTTGAGCTGACTGCTATTTTTGCAATATGGCTGCCAATTTACTAAATGAAAATATCGGCCCAATTTCAAAGCTGAAACTAAAAGATTCTGATCAAATATTTTGTATCCATTTTTCCAAAGAATTTGAAGAAGCTATGTAAGCTAGTGTATATTGACAATTCAGTCAGAATACCATTATTCTTATTCAATATAAAGTTGAATGATGCCAAAATGTACACTATATCTAAGCTGTGAAATAGACCAATGCATTTTCTTTTTAATTCAAAAATGAATTTTTGATAATTGCCTGCCTAAATGATAAATGTAACTCTATTATAGAAGATTGTGATGTATCAACTAGTGAAGAATTAGTATTAAATACAATAGCTACTATTAATAACTTATCTTACTATACAACTAAATCTAATGCTGTTATATCTAAACAGATGGATATATCTCAAGGTAAGATAATTTCAGGGAACAAATAATTGAGCTTGCTTTATATTTTCGTTGAATTACTGCCAAAGTTGGTTATAGTGTACTAGTCATCTATTTGACACCATATTGACACCCTATTGAAGTCTTCCACTTATGCATACCTTGTATCAATGTGAAACTATATTTGTATGATTGGTAGTGCTCATTGATAAATTTGAGGATGTTAGCTTCAGTTTGGAAGTGTGGAATGATGATTTTCAGGATAAGATCAAAGCTGAAAATATTTTATTTACCTAGCCATGAAACCCATATAGTTACAATGATAAGCTCTTACCCATGGTTATTGAAATTTCTAATATTTAATATTTACAGCATTATTGAAGACAGTTCTATCTAATAATATGGAAGGTATGATAGAATGTGCTAGAGTGTTTGGTAATCTGACACGACAGAAACAAGTACGAGATTTCCTGTCTCAGAATAAAGTTGATGCTATAATGATGACATTACTAGACTCTGGTAGTTTAGAGGTGGTCTATATTGCTTGTGGTGTCCTCATGAACTTTATGACTGATGAGGACAAACGATTAACGTTGAAAAAGGAAGGTGCCATTTCAAAGTGAGTTAAATGTTTATGTAGTTGAAATAAGATCATTGGATGCTGTTGACACAAATTTCCAGTTTGATTAAAATCCAAATCCCCAAATTTTGTTTTTCTGCAAGTGGCTCCACTTGTCATCTATGATCTGACAAAATTGTTATACATCTCATGTTCTAGGTCATAATATATTCGACCATTCAAATGTTCAATAATAGATTTCCTTACAATACTTCTGGAAATGTGAAATATTCATTGTTTGATATATACTTGTATTGTCTATCCATTAAACAACAATGAATGCAGACCTGAACAAATATCAACATAAGCTGGATTCAGCTGGTATAAGCAGTTCACATTTAAGATGACAAAAATAGTTTAAAATCTTTGAATTGTCATCTTTTAATGAGATTTTTTAGTTTATTAAAAATGATTTGAAATTATTTTTCCAGGTTGATAGAAGTTTTAAGAGATTTTGGTCGTGAAGACTGGCAGTTAAGTAGTACTGTATGTAAAGTATTATGTAATTATAGTGCCAAAATAACCAGCTCCTCTGCTTGTTTTGGGGAGAAAGAATCTCAAGAACTATTAGAAATATTAGACGAGTATTTAGGTAAGTTATGACACTTATGTGAGTTAGATGCTTGCTTGTTAACCTGAAGATCTTGGGTTCAAAAATCCCATTGTGCTACAGGCTATGCATGTTAAATATCCCTCAACAGAAGTTGGAAATAAAAAAATATAGACTTATGCTGTTGTCCCTGATTGCACACCACAAGGCGTTGTCCCTCATTATTAGCCCAACCAGTGCAGAAAAGTAACAAACTCCATTTCAAATTTTCTTTACAGACCAAGAGGCAGCATTAGAAACCCAATTAAATGACAGTGTTGAAGATGAAGTAAGAGAATACATCAAAGAAACATGGGAAGTAGAATTTCGACCTGTAGCAGCAGAACTTTTAAAACGAATTGAAACAAACCAATCACAGTTTGAACCATTAGAACATCCCAGTTAAAACCAGTGTTAACACTAGTATTTTAGAACTCTTCATTTTCAGCACCTCACTTCTGCTACACTCTCACTGTCGACTGCAGTAATGCCAGATTATAATGCACAGTGTTGTGTTGCTAGCATGTCATTTATAAACATACATTCCAAGTGGAGAAACAAGAATTTACCAGTAGTCATTGGATGTGTCAGTGTGATGTGTTGCCAAACTTTCAAAAAAAATTATTGCTTAATTGTTAGCAGTGCAAGACTATCGACAGCTGAATTGCCAGATTAGATAATTGTTTTTGTTTTTATAGATACACAGGGTGATTTAGAAAGTGATTTTTTCATAACTCTTTCATAGACTATTAATCAGCATTATTATTTATAGCGTTGTCTGAATAATCGCATTCTAGAAGTGTTGCCAGATTTTCTTATTTTAGTTTTGTAATGTTATTGTATCCTGATAATTATTAACCAGTCCCAAATGACTATATTGTTTTTCAATGAAAAGAGAAGTGATATATATCCATCCATTTTCTTAACCTTTGCCTAAGAAAATGGCCAGAAAAAAATCTTTTCAAGGCTAATTTGCCTCTCTTTGAAGCCTGTTTGATGGTGAATTTGCTATAATTAATCTAAAGAAGCCAATGAAACAAATAGTCATGTCTTGTGTCACAATATCTGACAAATCGTTCATGAGCGTCCACAATTATTTATCACTTGTATTCCGTCCCTTATTTTCCTTGCCAATTAACAAATGACTTACATGTACATTTACATACATGTTGTAACTTTGCCGTCCATTATTTGATGTAATTATTATACTTAATTGTTAGTGCAGGTAGTGCAGACCACAAATATTTTAATATCTGCCATAGGATATTATCATCAGTCATAAATGCATCCGAGAATGCTAATAGTTGTCTGAACACTTTTTCTGTCTGTGTCCTTATGTTTTTCCAAAATTACAGACAAAAAGGTGTCAGCATTCATTCTGAAAAGTGTCAAGGATAGCTGACATCAATCTGTGAAAACATATTATATGGTTGACTTTCTAAGAATTTTCAATGGTTATAATGCATTCACATGTACACATGTGTATAAAATAGAAATCGTTGAAATCTTCAGTGGTCTGCACTCCCTGCTCTGTTTTATTCAAGTTGTACCTCTTTATTGTGTATTCTATTGAATGTACTAGTTTGCCGTCCAAAAGATGTTAACAGGGTGTATTTATATTATAAATATTAAAGATGTTAATTGGTTCCCTTGATTTAACTGCTCTGCTTGCAATACACAAAATAGCACAGGCATTTGTTTCTGTTTCTGAACCATATATGTTATAGTCTGAAGATGCTTACTCTTTCTGAAAGTAAAAAAACAAATGCCTGTGTAAATATGCAGCAAATGGTAAAATGATGGGTTTATTAGCAGAAGAGTTATTTGATAGTGCCCATTGTTTGTTGATTATATTTATATTTACAAGGGATGCATTCCGTAATTTCATTAAAGGGACAGATTCGCTTATCATACTTTAGTCTCAGAAACAGAATTTTTTTTTGCTAAGCTAATCAGTTTTAGAGTTCATAGCACACTGTCAAAATTTGCGCCTTTATTTCAATTGTGTTTTCAGAATTATCTGTGCTTGAAAATTAAAATGGCAACTCGTTTTTTCTTGAGACTTGTAAAAAGGTGAACCATGGCCTTTAAACTTACCATAGGATTTTACTATTGTTTACGTAATTGTTTTGATTGATCTTCGATTATATAATAATATATTGTTTCAAAAATATCAAATACAAGTATGTATCCCTAGAGTTAATATTAAGATATATTATAAGATATTAAATAATTATATGTATATTATGTGATATTAAATTATAATAATATAAATTATTAATGTATATATACAATTTATTATATATTGATAGACTTATCGTACCTTAGTCTCAGAAGCAGGAATTTTTTAGCCAAGCAAAACTGTAAAAGCGACTCTCAGTCGAAATTTGAGCCTTCAAATCCTTGTGTTTCCAGAATTATTCATGTTTGAAAATTATAATGAGGACTTTTCTTTTCTCGAGGTATATTTGAAGGGATTATGCCATTTTTGTGCAGTTCTAGTATTTCTGAAGACTATTTACAAATATTCATGAGCCAAATCAATCCTGAAAATGGTGAACCAAGGCCTTGTTTTTGAGTATTTTCACGCCACACAAAGTTAGGGCTGATATTTTTGTCATATTTTCCTTCATGCTCATATTGACTCCTGCTCATGCTATAGAGTACAATTTTTGAGAGATTCTTTTCATAATGGTAAGTGCATTTGCACCAATGAAAGGATAACAGCTCTCATTTTTGTGAAGATGGGACAATTTTTTCACAAATTTTTACTTCTGGACTAAGTGCAAAATACTATCCTTTATAGAGACTACAAGTTTTGATAGATTGTTGTCAGTCCGAAAATATTGAAGTATTTGACTTGAGGATATCATGAAATTATACAATATTTTTCGAATAATTTATTCAAAATTAAAACAAATATAAAAACACACTTTTTATACAAATAAAAATAAAGTACATATAATAAATTAAATTAAAATATCACAGAACATGATGTAATATATTATGGCTTTTAGATTTGATTTGAATAATATATCTGAATTGTTCGCATCATTGGGATTTTTCACCTGATCTGAATTTGTTTCACATATATATATTTCAATTGGTTTTTTTTTTCAATCTGAACTGTTTTTGCAATAAGAATTTTTCACTTGATCTGAATTGTTCAAATATACATGACATGTTTACACAATCTGAATTGTTCAAATATATCTGGATGTTTTGAGTATATCTGAATTTTTCAAATAATTTGGATTTTTCAAATATATCTGGACATGTTAACACGATCTGAGTTATTCAAATATATCTGAATTTTTCACATAATTTGAATTTTTCAAATATATCTTGACATGTTTGCACAATCTGAATTGTTCAAATATATCTGGATGTTGTAAAAAATCTGAATTTTTTCAAATATACCCGGCATGATTACACAATCTGAATTATTCAAATATATCTGGATGCTTTAAACATATCTGTATTTATAAAATATATCTAGATGTTTTAAACATATCTGAATTATTCAAATATATCTGGATGTTTTAAACATATCTGAATTTTTCAAATATATTTGAATTTTACACAATCTGAATTATTCAAATAAATCTGAATCTAATTTCGGAACTTTGATTTTATGCTGTGTTATTCAGATAATACAAACAAAATTATTCAATCTTTTGGCAAGTTAAAAAACATATTTGGAAGTTATTTCTCTTTTGGCACTATTATTTTTTGCATTCGGAATATTCAAGACTTCATGCTGTTAGAAAACCTGTGAAAATATGGCAGATGAGCCAAATACTCAATTTTGGTAATTTGATCGGGTTTCATCTGGAATGAAAAAAAAAAATGAAAGGTTTAGATACTCAATAGACATTTTTAAATAATTTAACCTTTCAATTAACCAAAAAACAATGAAAATTGTAACAGACAAATATACAACTTATACAAATATAGAAACTCCAACAACAGAATATTTTCACTGTTAAAATCAATTATAGAGCAATATAGAAAAAACAAAACCTGAAACATGTTGTTACTCAGAGTTTCACCCTGTGCGTTCTTAAGACCTATTTCACAAGTAGTGCATAGAAACTATACAATTGCATACTATATAAATATAGAAACTATACAAAGATACAAACTATATAAATAAAGAAACTATAGAAACTATACAAAGATACAAACTTTTACAAATAATGTACCTTTACAGTATTACACATGTGCAAACACATACCAAAATTATGCCAATATAGTTTCTTGTCAAATAGAGACGCAATTCTCACCTGCCTGATATCTATATGCAACTTTGCTTGTCAACTCGACATCTCTATTTCGAGACATGATAAAACTATTAATACTTTTTTAGTATAATTTTAAGTGCACATCTTGACAATATTTGCCTCTGGCTCAAACATAGATAGTTTATTAGGAATTGCATACATAAATCTATACCAACCATGTTAACAGTGTCTATCATTTTAGACCAGGTTGTTGTGTCTTCTAAATTCACATCCCAAGCGGTAGATAAGATTTCTTTCAAAGACCTTAAAGATATTTTACCACTGTGATTTCTATCTACTGACTGGAACAGGTCCTGAAACATATCAATATCATTTTTAACTACCAAACACTAAAGGGATTGTAAAAAGCTTTTCTAAATTTAGAAATAAGAATTTAGAATTAAAAATTAAGAAATAGCAATGAAGAACATTGAATAAAAAGCCACTCTGCCTTCCATATCTCGGGAATCGATCGAAACATTGAATGGTGTAAATTGATGCTAACAGTGTCCCTATATTGTTATACTTTATCACTAATTTTCAAAAACAAAAGACAATAACTTATTTCAATCCATGTTTCAGATATAAAAGGAATCATGAAGAAGACTAGTTTGGAAATGTGGGTTTAATTTTCGACATTTATATTTGATTTGCAATGTAAGAAGAAAGCGAAGGGCAATGGTAGCAAATTTCATTAATTTGGGCTAGAGAGTTTAGAGGGGCACATTGTTAGTTTTTCAACCCTGCAGACCCCTGAATCATGGTGCAGTATTTTGTGAAAAGGTGCATTCCCAGAAGCATTAGACCTTTCGTTTGTGTAACAAAATCCCAGCGTTGGAGAAATTTGATTGGCTAGCGGTGTCATCAAACAAACGAATGTTCAAGAGGGCTGTCTTTAGTCTTCAGAAGTACTAGAAATCACATAATTCCTTTAAATATACTTCAAACTAGAAATTTTAGTCACTATTTCTATATATGTCTTTTCTATATATCACAAAGTATCCAAAATTGATGAGTTGTCATTTTAACATTCAAATGTGGATAGATGACTGATAGACTTATCTAAAACATTCCCTTTTCTGAGACTAAGGTAAGATTGGTCAAAGAAATGGCACAGCTATCCCTTGAATTAGAATGCAAATCTGAATTAATAGTAAGCCAGCACTTTATCATGTCTTGGCCTTGTTTTGATAACACTTAAAGGTGTGGTTCTCTCAAAAGTACTGAGTCATCAATAATTTTTAATAGTGCTATAAAAGTCAAAGGCTAATATTGTTAGTAAATTATAAGTTATGAACTATCATTTTCAATCATAATAATGATAAGGAAAGCCTTATTAAATTTTAATAGAGGATATACAATGCCCTACATGTACCAATCTATTTTCAGTTTTCAGAATGGTAAAAGTACAAAACATGATTTTTCAGAATTTTTATCAAAAATGGTAGTAATTGAGAACAAAAATTGCCATTTAACAAATCATACGAAAATTTGATGCTCCCTTTTTCTGACTCAATATCCAGAATCATATTGTGCAAATGCAGCCAAAAAGAGACAAAAAGATTTTCAAGGGAAATGTACTGGTATATTATATTTGAGTTTGGTTTACAGAAGTACATTATATCTTGACCTATGACATTGTAAAACCAATATGTTTTCAAGTGAATCCTCTGAAAATATAGACGGAAATACCAACTGGTGGTCAATTGTCATATTGGTCATATTTCATACAATTATAGCAGCAATAAAGCTAAATAATGTTTGAGTGAATTTTTTGATGACCTGGACCTATTGGTCACTGTCAATAATTAGAGTATATGATTGCAGGCAGTTCTAATTTAAGAATGTGTTCTCTGATCTCATGTAAAGAGTAGCCTACTGTTTAAAATATCCAAGTTTGATTGATTAGTATGTAGGTAACCTCACAAAAGTTTGACAGATGAACGGAATCAATCAAATATGACCATTACAGTGTCGCCAAAATGATTTTATGGTTTCGTTTTCCTTCCATTCATTAATATAACTGAAGGTCATAGGCTACTGTAACCTTTTTCAATTTTCACTGTGAATAAATGAATTATTTATGTTCTAGGCCAAGGCCCTATGTGTATTTCAGACTGTGTAACAAAGATCCCTCAACAGTTGGAATTTGAAAAAAAGTAGACTAATGCAGCAAAATTTCCCTCATCTCACACTGAATGGCAATGCACACTACCCGCTTGCCATGACGACCATTCCCCCCCGAAATATAAAGCCAACAAAATTATCTTACCACATAATGAATGATGAATTGTTTTAATTCTACATCATCTAAATCTTTAAACGCTTCTTTAGCTTCACCACTGAAATAGAACAATTTTATTTTAAAAAAAAACACATTGATGAGCACAAATTCTTGTAAAAAATTTCAAAATCTGTGCTAGGCTATATGTATTATTTCATTTTTTATTCTGTGTGTTAATACATTTGACACCCATGATCATGACAAATTCTTGTTTGAATCGTGTTCAAACAAATTTTGCCAACATAAATGTATAAGCTAACACTACACATTATAATATAATTGTACAGATCGAATGTTTTGAAAAAAAAATAATGGTATTTTTTTATAAAAACTACCTCAATTCATAAACAGTGTCTCCTAGTTTAGACATGTTGAGAAATTCATCTACACCAAAATATGTACTGGAACTTGTAATATCATATACCTATAAAACAGAAAATAATATAGACATGTACTTTAATTGTAGGTGAACCATATGTCAGATTTTACTCTTGAAATTTGATATGGGTAGCGGAAATTGAACTCTATCAGATTGACCTCTATCAGATTGACCACTAACTGTAGAATTGCCTTACTCAGTCAAGAGTTGCTAGGCTTGGCAAATAATGTTTTAGAACTCGATTAATAAACAGATCCAATTTGCATGTAGGTTACTTTCATGTGGAAACAATTCCAAACCAATATAAAAAGTAGAATATAAGAGCTTTCAGAAATGGCTGCCAATGTGGTAAAGGTACAAAACTTCTACCTGTTTCAGAAAGTTTTCTTGTTGTATAGTTATTTCTGATGGAAGCTCTTGTCTTAGTTGATCAAAGTCCAGGTGGCTGAAGTGGAAAATTCAAGTAAATGTTATTGAAAAGATCATGGAAGCATAAGAAGGCCTACCTTGTTCTGTTTCTAATTGCCTGACGAAGATTGTGTATCCAAAACGTGTGTCAACAGCATATGATGAGCTCTAGTCAAGCTGATCTGAGTCAAGAAAAGCGATACAGCAGAATATTCTGGTTTTGTCTTCTCACTCCTCTCAGAGAGTTTTCAAAGCCCATTATTGGAAAGTTAACACTGTGATTTCCAAAATTAACTGGCAAAAGTAATGTGTTCCAGCAACACCAGATAAGCACTATTTAAGTTACATACCCTGTAGAATCTGTGTTTAAAGAATGAAATTTCTGTCTGAGAGTTTCTTGCTGTTCTTCTGGTACAATTTCTGATAACTCTGTACCCTATTAAATAAGGAAATATATATTCAAAGGACTTTTTGATAATTATGAAAATACAGGCTTCATAATATCCAGAATTTTGTTATTTGACCGAGAGAAGACATCTGGTTAAAGAATGGCCCATACAAGTATTGAGAACACCATGTACATACCTTAAGAGGGTATGGTGTTTTACTAGGTGTTAAATAACCAGAAGGTGTTATTGTTAAACCAGCAGTAGGTGGAGGGGCACCAGGTGTTATCACATCTGTATTTGATCTGTAAACATAAAGGAAAAGGAGAATTGGTAAAAAATTTGAAACATCTTGATAAAATGATTTAGATGATATCACTGTTATCATCATTCTAATTTTTAGTTAGACGTATGTGATTCCTGCAATTCTACTAGAACCTGGCATCTTTTTCAAGGTGAGCAAAATTCTGACGACCTGGCCCAATATAAATTTCAATTGATTTGTAAATGTCTACCTTTCAGCTTCAGGTATTCTGACCACATCTTGTTTTTTCCTTTCATTTTCTTCTTCTTCTAATTGTCTTTCTTTACTATAAGTATAATTATAATCATAATTTTAAGCAATTTGAGAATTTTTTTCTGAAAGATTATGGGCAGGGTACAACAGCTTTGATTGTAGAGTTATGGCACCTGGCATAATATATTTTCACAATTGCATGTTTGTTCAATCCCACAAAAAGCAATTTTGGCATTGTGTTAATTTATAAGTTAACTAGACCAAGGTCTTAATAGGCATCTTTCAGTACATAATAACTTTACAGGATAGAGAGAAGATAAAAGGTTTAGATTTTACAAAAAATCTGCTTTTAGCCATTTTTCGAGACCTGTGAAGCACATTCCTCAAAAATTTTAATAAAAAAAAACATTCTCTGATCACAAGATTTGAGAAATGGTGACCTGTTGTAGAAACTTTTAGCTGTGGATATTTGATAAACTTACAGATGTTTATTTTGATCTTGTATCCATGATGCCGGACTTCTATTAAGACTAGGTAAGGCATTAGACCGGGAGAGAGAGGCATCCAAATCAAAACCTGAAATAAAACAATATACTTTCAATTTATTGCCAGATAGTCAAACAAGTTGGTTCATTGGTTCATTAAAAATCTCTTTTGGCAGCCATTATTTTTCACAGAACTATTTTCTATTTTTAAGATTCAATAAAAAATGGCAAATTTTGATTGAAAAACTGATTATTAAAATAAGTTAATACTGGTGGAGACAGCTTCACCATAACTTACAAAAACTATGATAAAATCCAGATTTTACAAAATACCATACATGTATACATGTAATAATTCAGTTGTTTCCAAAAAAATTTCCCCTTGTCTCAATATTCAATACTTTGGCATTATCATCTCAACTTGAGATTCTCAAGTGAGCTTACAATTGTTTTGCTCTCCATATGAGTGTGCAGAAATTCTTATCTTGCGTAATAAGCAAAGCAGGTAGCCTATATTTCTAATCATCAGTACTTAAAAAGCTTGTTCAATAAATGTTCAAATTATTCAAGCAACACAACCAAAAACACACAAACACAACACAAGTTGAAGAGAATAGTTTAGGAAAAGCTCTTAATATAAGCAGCATAGTTGCAAAGATAGAACACCACACACCAAATGCAGCAATTATAGAATATATATTTAGACATAGAATGAAGCATTTTCTGAAATACATCAAAAGAATTTTCATAGGAAGCCTAATTTTGACTTGAATGAAATAAAGAAACAACCAAATTTTTTCAGTTCAACTTGGCCAAACCTTTTGGCAATGATTTTTTCATGTTTATCACCCATTAACAGCTGGGTAGACTGGAATATTGAGGTGAGACAACATTCACATCCTGACAGTGATCAAAACCCATGACCACCATTTTTTTTAAACATAACGAAGCAAGTGACATCATATAAGGATTTCAAATCTCTAACTCAATGCGTTACAGCCCATCCTCAATAGGGTTAACATCATCTTCTGCTTTATTGTCGGAATCAAACAAGAGCCAAATGCTAACATAACCAATACATTTCATATACATGGCCGTTTTCATATACAGATATATTATAGCAGTAAAGACATTAAGCAGAATATATACATTTAAGTAAAGAACAGAAAGAAAGCAAGAGAAGAAGTTATTCTCTGCCTACTATTTTGATGTAATCTAGCTTTAAGACTTTCTATTCTTCTTTTCTCCTGTGACAGAAGAACAGCTGGTTCTTTTTTTCCAACTAATAGTTTATTAAAAAAAATAACAACTATCACTACCATTATGAACTACATGCATTATCAAAATGCAATCAAATAAAGTTACTTAAGAATTATCAAAAATAAAGCACTATGAGACCAAAAAAAGGGGAATATTACGAAAATGAAAATCAAATATTATATGATATTAGGACACTAAATTATGAAATTATTATATATATAATAGCCTTTAACAGTAATGTACAATTTGAATATCCTGTTACTTGTTTGAGAGCACCAGTATAGAAAGATTTTTACTGTTTGTGTTGTACCTTAGCTTGAAAATCTAATTGCAACAAATAGTTATGGATATCAACAAAGAAGCTCATTCCAATGGCACAAGAGTTAAAAACAAGTAAGTGTGGTGCATGTTCGAGGATTGCTGTTGAGGAAAACTGACTAAATGTCCAGGAAAAAAAATTTTCCTCACTGCACACTGCATGGAGTTACCTGTTTTCATTAGCCCAATAAGGAGTACACCCAATATTTTCATGTAATTTTATAACATAACGTTATGCCCATGAAAATGGTTTAACAAAAAGCTGCACTTTGTATCAAAAGAAACAAAATACTATCCCTGGCCTTCCCAAAGATGTAAACATTTGTCCTACCTAAATGTGGATTTCTGTTAATTTGTGGTAAAATATCTTTACGATGTGATTGTGGTAAAGACTCATTAAAAGATCTCTGTGTACTAACACCATAGGGTTTTCTTATTAAAGATGGAGGGGCGGAATTTGTTACTGAAAATAAAAAGCAAGTCACGTATAATAATAATTCATTTACTAGAGCATGCTTTTGATTCAGTAGTAGATTGCCAACCATAAAGTATACTAGCTAGTCACAGCTAGTTCCAGAACACCTGATGCCACTCTGTAAGTGGGTTTGTAAACTATGTGGTCCTTTCAAAGGGTTCACATAGTTGATATTTTTATTTTACAAACCAATAATGATGTCTTTTAGTGTCCCTGAGGTCAGTCTTCAATCTATTTGAGATCTAGATATCCACTACAAAAACTAAAAACCCATTCAGAGAGTTCACATAGCTAAGATTTTAGATTGTAGAATTCAAGAATTTAGTAAAAATAAAATTTACCATTATCATCATAATCATCAAATTCTGAAATCTGTGGTTGTCTTGGCTTTATTGAATTATGATTACTGCAAAATAAGACAAAAAGAAAAAGTCAACACAGAAATTCAAGTAATTTCAGAAATTTCGGAGCCAACAACAAATTAGTACCTAAAATGAAGTATAAGTCCTCTTATAAAAATTGATGGGACCATAGTTCACTTTATCCAAATACCTTTGTATGAGGCGGTGAATTTAACCAAGCAAAACAACCTTCTTTACAGCAAGAGGGATTGTTTGTGGTCATAATATTGATGAGTGTTGTGTGTGTGTCCATATTTACAAAACAAAACTTAAAAATGGCTACTAGCAAGTGCGTTGATTGGCTGGTTTGGAAATCGTGTAACAGGATGAATATTTATATCTGAGACTGAAATACAAGATTTACCTTCTAAAATGAAACACAGTAGAAATATTTAAAAGTGTGGAAGGGATAGTGTTTGAAAAAGCCTAATCTTACCTTGGTAAATGTATACCACGACCATGATAGAGATCTTTAGCATACTGTGGTAGGACCATTGCCTTTAGTCTTCTTATCTCTCTATTGATATCAAATCTGTAATATGAACAAAATCATTTTAGATTATAGAAGAAATGTGAACAATACAGAATTTGAAATCCTCAAAGTTTCTAACTAAGATTGGAACATAACTTTGATGTCATCGAGAATGGTTCTCAAATATCAAACATTTTGACAGAATTCTTCCAGAGATATCTTTGACCCTTGAAATTATGAAAATCAATGAATTATCTATAGTCAGTAGAATTCCACATGCAAACTTCAATACAACATAGGCCTACATGTGGACGAAACCGTACACTTGACATCACTTGCCTCAAAAAGCTCTAAAGTACTGATCTACAGCCACTTCCAAATCCGCTACAACACATCCGCTAGAACACAAAGACCTTCAGCTTCCATGAAAAGAGTTAAAGTTTCAAATGATACTGATATTCTTGAAGTTTGACGAGAAAACATCTCACCTTTCTTCAATATCTAAACGTTTACCACCCATACACATATCAAGTGGTAATCGATGTGGTAAAATTTCAGTTTTACGTCTGATATCTCTTAACCTCTCTAAACTCTCTATTTCAGCTATTAATCTATCTCTCTGGGACATACTGAAATAAAATGAAATATAATGAAATATAATGAAATATACTGAAATATAATGAAATATAATGAAATATAATGAAATATAATGAAATATAATGAAATATAATGAACTAAAATTGAAAACGAAATTAAAATCAAAAATTAGAATGAAAATGACCCATGTGTAGTTAATTGAAAAATTTAATTCATTCATTCATACACTTATTCATTTCTTCATTTATTCATTCATGTCTATTTTTCACCTATTTTTGTTTTATTAATATACATTCATTTATTCATTCATTCTTATATACACATCATTACATAATTCATCTATTTCATTCATTCATTTATTCATTCTATTCTTTGATCAATCAATTCGTTAATTTATTTTTTCTATTCTTTAATTAAGTAATTCGTTCATTTATTCATTCTATTCTTTGATTCATTTATTCATTATATTCTTTAATTAATTTGTTTATTTATTCATTGTATTCTTCAATTAATTAATCAATTCATTCATTCATTCATTTATTCATTCTGTTATTTAATTAAGTAATTCATTCATTTATTTATTATATTCTTTAAGTAATTCGTTCATTTATTCATTCTGTTATTTAATTAAGTAATTCATTCATTTATTTATTATATTCTTTAAGTATTCGTTCATTTATTCATTCTATTCTTTAATTAAGTAATTCATTCATTTATTTATTCATTCTATTCTTTAATTAAGTAATTCATTCATTTATTCATTCTATTTTTTAATTGATTAATTAATTAATTCATTCATTCATTATATTCTTTAATCAATTCATTTATTCATTTAATTCATATCATTCATTTGATCAGTATATTTTTTTAATTTATTCATTCTATCCTTACACTAATTCATTCATTTATTCATACACTTTTACGTTTACGTCTTAAATCAATACATAAATAGATTCTTGCATTCATTCAGTTGATCAATTAATTCATTCATAATGTCATAATAAATGGTCAGTATTGTCATGTTATATTGTGATTAATGATAATAATATAACAGTAATAAGTTATAATACTTGTTATAAATCTAATATATTATATCAATAGGGCAATACAATAGTTTTTTATTGTTTTATATTACCACTTAGTTCAGGCTATTGACCTACATTGATTTTATTGACAAAAAATTCAATCATATCTGTCATATAGTGGTTAGGAAAACAATCTCATTTCTGGTCCATGAGCAAAAAAATATTAGTTTTTATGTCCAACTTTACTCCACTATAAACAACGCTAAAGGAGGAATGGGTAACACCATGCAGTGTGCAATGAGAGATATTTTGCCTAGTTCTCCAAATTTCGATTTTTCTTACTTTGTTCAACAACAGTGGAGTTTTAACTTTCAAACCGTCTTCATTAGCTCACATCTTGAAGAAAAGTAGGACGTAAAACTCCATTCATTTCATTTTAATTTTCAAACCTAGCTGTCCTGATGAGGATTGTGTATCTGAGATGTGCTAGTAGAATGTGAAGAGATTATCATGCATTCTTCTGATTATCAAGATCAATAACTAGAATGAAATTCGTTCCTACCTACCTGTCAAAAGATCTGCTGGTATCCCACTGAAAAGCAAGAAAATCTCAACTTAACACACACTTTAAGGCAAAGGAGTTGAAAAGATGAATCAAACTTAGCGATCTTCTCTAATCCATTTGATCAATAGTACCTTAGTCTTAGTCTTAGTCACAGCTTTGACATCACCCGTTTGAAGAGATATGAACACAAAATATTCCAAAGTAAGGTTTGATTTTTTCTCGGCTTCAGTTCTTTAACAAAAATCTGACTCAATTCTGTAGCATACATATTCATCAAACTATGTAATGGCACGCTGCTTTCATTTTGTTTACGTTCGCAAGCAAAGTGTCATAATGAGTGACTTGTTTTGATTGGCCGAAATTTGCTACCAATAGAGTAGGGCCAATTTTGATTGGATATTATTTAGCTATGAATATGTAATTTTTCTCACTTGTTTTACCACGGCCCTGAGGAAGTATGATGAAATGGGGTGTGGTTTGGACACGATGCTGTAGGATATAATATCTATGCAATGAAGATAACTTACGTTATATCGTTGTGTATGTAAAGCCTGACCACGTTTACCAGAATATAAATTATCTAAAGTATTAAAGGTGTCCTGATGACGTTTTGATATTGGCATGTTCTTCATAACTGTTGATGATCTGAAATAGACACATCTTGCTTATGTCAATATCTTTGAGGACTGGTTGTAGTTTATTCAAATAGATGCTTTGGCAACACTGTAGCACAATCCAAGTCAAAATGAAGCGATTTTGTATTTGTGAATTTAAAATACAAAAATGAAAAAATTTGGTCTTTTTTTTTCAAATATGAAAGTGATAAAATGTGGTTGTTTCTTTCTCTCAAAATGGAGTGTAGATCATCAGAGAGCTTGGAATCCTATACATCATTTGTATGGATTTTTTTTTAGAATAAAAATGTGGTGCATTTTTAAGCTGTAATCTTCTTGACTTTAATGAAATTTGGTGATCTTGATTAAGTCTCAAACTCAAATGAAAAAATTCACCAACAATCTTGGAAGCATCTTTCAAAAGTGTTCTTGTAAGGCCATGGAGGTGTTTACAAGGACCAGCTAGCAGAAATGCATTGAAAAATAGGTTCCTCAACTTTACATTGATAATATACTTACAAAAAATCCTGAGATTTAAATGGGGCTGGTTGAGGGTTAATTTCTTCTGGTTCTTCTGGTCTAGAGGTCAGACCATCCATCTGTCGTATCTACCAAAATAATCAATATAACAATATAATCCTCTAAATACCAGAGATCAATTTCAGCCAAAAGGATCACTTTGCAGAATTAGAATCTGACAGTTGGTTCCATTACAATTCAACAAATGTTTTGTATCTTGAATATAGTAGGCCTAGTCTAAATATTTACCGGCTGATAGAGCTCATTTTCAACTATATATAATCTGACATATAGTTCTACTACAATTCAATAATAATTTAATCTTATATTTAAAATGTAACAACATAAGCATAACCCTTGTCAATCATACAACTGAATTATTTTAAGAAAATATGGTAGTAGGCTAATTTTCAAGCAAAAAGATAAAGTTTTGACCTACCACAACACATTTTAGCTTAGTTCCCTCTAAAATAAACTGAGAAATGACCGGCATGTCAAAATTCAATGTTAATGGTGAAAATATTTAAATTTTGTTAAAACAATTATAAGTTTGTCTACACTCCATTTTGTCCTTAGTTACGCTATCAAATCAGAGGAGCCTCAATTTAATACATTTAAAGAGACATGTCAAGGTATAGTAGTATACCATAAAATTGTGTTCCGTCATTTAATTTCCTGAGATGTGTGGTTCTTACATTCCAAAAAAGTTGACCAGTGTCTATCACAAATGCCATACATTCCAACCAAGTGGTTTTTGGGATAGCATCATCATAATCTGGTATATTTTTCGCACCACAAATAAAACAACTATAAAACCTCTCTTTAAATTGATTACAGGGCCCCACAGTAAAAGATATAATATAACCCTATATTAAACAATAGATATATGTGTAATATGATCTATATTAGATAAATACTCCGTATGATATGATCAAACAAGCGGTGAAGTGTATCAGGTGATCTAATCCTACTAAAACCAACTACTGTTTGACATCAAGGTTACCACACAGTTTTTTCACTCTATTTCTAATCCATTTTTAATGGATTTATTATGTTCAATTTTTTATTTTTGTCAAAGGGATATCATCGCCTTACTATTCATTTTTTAGCTTTCTGTAACACTTCTCAAAATTTGAAACGGAATTCGGCTTCCCTATAATTCTTTCATTACATCAATCATTAAAGGGGAACAGTCTGCATTTTCGGGGAAAGATTTGGGTCTAGAATATAATCATGTAGGCCTAAATAGTCTTCAGAAATATACATGAAAAATCAGTTCAAAACTACCTCCTAGATACACGAAAAATCCCTTCAAACTAGGAGGTAGTTTTGAAGGGATTTTTCGTGTATATTTCTGAAGACTATTTAGGTTATATATCATATATAAGTCATCATGTTAACTTTTTTACGTGGAAAATTCTGGACATACATGGATTTGAAGGCTCCAATTTCGATAGTGAGCTATAAACACTATTACTGATTAGCTTGGCTAAAAAATTACCGTTTCTGAGACTAAGGTACGATTAATCAAACGTGTCCCTTTAAAGGGGGGGTGGGCGAAATATTTGAGGTCCAAGTTATGAGATTTTTGCGTGAAAAATATGACCCCTCTGCACCCCCTTTGGCTCTGCCACGGCATTCATCCCATATAATTGCTTGTATACTGAAAATAATTCTTACCACAGAACCTCCAGCATAGCGTCGTCGTCGTGGTGTGTTGGGATCTAGACGTGGTAGATTGATATTGTCTATGATATAAGGTACTGCTTTATTCTGCTGATGATTTGGTGAGGTATGTCTACGATTCCGATCTGTTTTCAAACCTTTTATACTCCCTGTCACAGTGGTGTTGGTCTTCTCCCGACTACGATAAGACTTGCTGGCCTCAGATATATCAGACCGTATTGGAAGAAAGGGAAACATTTCGGAATTCATGGATAACTGGTCATGTTTCATCATTTCAGCTTTGAATTTCTCACTCCCAAATTTTATTGAATTTATACTTAGGCCTACATGTAACACATGGAATGTCTGCCAATTTTAAGATGTTTTTTTTTCAGAATTTTCAATCAAAGATTTGAAAAATACAAAGGTCGCATGGTATTAGTATATTTTTTCTGCTAATTTTGGTATAAATTGTTTTAAAAGTTCATATAACTTATAGAAAATTCTAAAAGCTTATCAGTTGAATATTTCCATATAATTTGTAGGTCTTTGACATCTTAAACCATTTCCTCGATCAAAATTCATAATCCATCCATAGTCAATATCAAAAACATTATATCATTATGATTTGAATAATGGTCAATGCCAAGCGCATAACTCAATAAGCCATATAGCCATGGAAAAAAACCGTTTTTACACAATGGCATAAAATGTATCACTATGTTGCCAAATTCAGTCACTATAACTTTTCCTAGATTAAACTTTTTAAACTCGGCAAATTCACACTTGAAACTGTGATAAAAACACTTAAAACGTCAGTAAATCACTTAAAAGATAAACAAATTTACTATTTAATGGTTCATTTTTGTCACTTAGTCGTGTGAGTTGTTTACATGTCTCAATACTTTCACTTTCTCTTCCGTTGATAAGAACGCTTTCACTTAGCGCATGCGTACTATTGATTATTAGCTTAAAGGAATTGATACTTGTAGTTAATTTATTATATATCCATATGAATTGTCGCTCATTCCGTCCACAATTGTCAATAAACAGTCAAAAAGGCGCAATTCTTGGCGGATTTAGACGAAAATTGGTGGAATTGTTTATTATCATTGAAGGATGAACTCTATTAGCCCTTGTCGAAGCTTAGTGTATGTGTGGAAAAAAAAAATCGAAAAATATTCAATATGGGTTTTGCCCTTGTTTCTTAAAAATGCGTTAATTCTTTTAGCCCGTAAACAATTTAGAAGGCACAATTCTCGATTGATTTTGAAGAAACTTGGTGTATATGTTTATTATCTTTATCTTTATGTCCGTCTGTTCAATAGATCGTGAATATCAAATATAGGCCTAATCCAGTGGTTCAAGTTTAACCACGTTATTGATCGAGAATATCCAATATGATCCAGTAGTTCAAGTTGAACCACTTTATTGATCGTAAATATAAAATAGGAACTAGTGGTTCGAGGGGTCTTGAAGCTTGAATGATTCTACTTAGTTCAACCACTTGTTATTGATCGTGGATAATAAATATCATCGGTGTTCAAGGGGTCTTGAAGAAATGATTATCCTTCTAAGTTAATTAACCTGTGTCTTTCAAATATTGTATAGTGCATTGAGTTAAATCTAGATAAAAGGCCATGGTTCGCCGATTTCGGAGGTTGATTTGGATCTTGAATATTTGTAACTATTCATAATTTTCAGAAGTAGGCCTACCGCAATGTCAGCAGGAAAATCGCAATCGCATAATTTCTGCCAAACTCTTTGATATCTCGTGGATTATCTTCCTGACCTGAAAAATATACAGAAACAATTATAAAATACTTGACAGTAATAACGATAGGCCTATACATAACATTTCATTGAATCCAGAAAAGAATTAAGGACAAAAGAGAGTCTAATTTCTAGAAATACCACTAACCTGTCGTACCGGTATCTGATCTATTCCATCAAAACGTCCTCCATCACCTCGTTTACTTACAAATCCAGTAATACCTCCTGATATCCTAATAGGTTCTATTTTATCATCTATGGTAGCCTATTTAGCTTTTATTTGATCATTTTCATGGATTTTTTTGGTCTCCTATATTTGATACCATTGGCATGTTTGCCAACGCTGCCTTCTCTATCGCAGTCTTCTGACGATTTGCCTAACTGACTCCATGTTGAAAATGGACATTTAGGTGAGGATGTCGAGTAGGGATCACAAAATAATAGCTATTTTTTCACAAGTGTAGGAGAGTATAACACATATCATCATCATATTTATGAAAACTTACATCACATAGAAAAGAGTTGTCGCGCATTACTACACCGTCGCCAGATTTGACGATGCATTTCCACGCTACACACCGTGACATTCCGTCGCAAGACAACGCCAGAATGGCAGAAACCTACTTCAAACGGCTTCAATAAACTACGTCAAGTAAGCTTAGGTCTACATGTAGTGGGATTCCTACGCCAGAAAACGAAACAAATAAATCTAGCTTAAAACATTTGGAATAAACAACCAGACTCCCTCTATGGCCTACAATATACTTGGTTTTTGTGGTCTGAAACTTAGCTCTGTCATGTCAAGAGTTATCTTTCTGTAGAGCTCTTCTGTCTGTAGAGATTAAAAAATTAGTTTCTTCACAGCAATGATCCAGCAATGAAGCCATCAAATTCATTTCTCTTCTCAAAACTAGGGCTTAGTCAACCAAAACGTATGTTTATGTCTGATCATATAGGATAAGCCTCTCATGATATGAATGTCACAGAATTCATCATTTCTATTGCAATTTTTTATGCTGTGACTGTGAAATCTTTTTCCCAAAATACAATGGCGCCAAATTATGCATAGACCACGCAGGTCAGTTTTCCCGTCAAACCATGCACATGCTGCAGTATATTTTAACCAACTAGATCTATGAATTATTTTTGCAATTTCTTATCAATGCCTGGAATGTCCATTTGTGAAACTCGCTTTTACGAAATTATTTTGTACGGAAACCCATGACTGCTATAATAGGCCTATGATTAAGTGTGTCCTTTACAATTTCCGTTTTGTACATCCTTGCCCTTTTTGTACTTTCAGCTTTTTACGGTTATGATTGCATCAGGATAGGCCTTCAAGAATACAAGGGATGAAAATTCTGTTATAACCAATCGTCCGTTTACACTCATTGTTAGGAATTAAGATCCACCACGTGGGCGAGGCATTACAAAATCAGTATTTTATCCAATCACAATTCTTAATTTAATTCCTGTATGGAAAATATCAATTCCCAAAATATCACTAGTACCAGAATGTTCCAGACAGGCGTACTTTTATCGGGAACCTCGAATACACAGGAATCTGATCTTTGTGCAACTATTGAGACACCAAAACTTTCCATTGGGCTCACTTACAGATATAAGTACCGGTATGCTATTTCATTAAATGGAAATTTTCGGTGGAGGTACGGGCGACCATCTTGTTGTGCTTTTCCCATGGAACCCCGGTATCAAGAACACTATTCCTATAGAACCTAGTATTAGAATATACCAGAAGTGGTATTACAAACAAATGTTCTTTATCGAAACATTGACTAGTTGAAAAAATGTGCAATTTTTTAGCCTTCAACAAATTTACAACATAACCAAGTGACTAGGGCTCTGTGCAGTTTTCAACAACTAAGTCATCAACGCTCTCAAATACAGAGTAAAGTATGCTTCAAAAATTAGAATTTTCATGATCTAGTGGTTTAAGTGGTCTTGAAGCTTGAATGATTCCACTAAGTTGAACCACCTGAGGGTAGGGGCCGTTACCAATAAATAACTGCCTAAATACGCCACTAGGTCTAACGGATGGGGGTTGTTGAACTAACGCCCCTCCCCCTGTTTTATGTATTATGTGCATCAATTGATTGCAAACTACTTACGGTATGAGTTTCTTTGTTTTGTAGGTATTTTCTTATCTCCATAATCTGCACGGATCTCAACTTAAACCCACAATATTCACACATTATACAAATTACAACAAAATGATGAATCAATAATTTACTTTAATGATTATGATATATTTTACATCATATACAGAGTAGCTATCATCTTCTTTAGTATCAATTGTAAGCTCTGATACAGCACAAAGACATTGTCATTAACATCTTGTTTGTGCTTTTCTTCCTCTTCTTTCTCTGTTATTTTCTCAATCTGTCTGGCTCGAATCTTCTTCAAAACTGAATAAAACTGTTCTTCTTCCGGTTTACAGTTTAAAATAATCAAACGGCATTGACGAATCATTTTACCATCTGGAATTATAAACACGAGTCATTTCGAAGTGAAATAAATTCAATGTTTATGCTTTACTGCTGTGTACATTATTGGAATGATCTTGGCATCTAGGTAAGTCTGATAGCTCCAATCGATTTAAATAAAACTTCAGGAACTCTACCAACCGCCAATTGCTCAACTAGTTGATTCGGGGCCCGTAGACTTAAGTGGGATTTTTTTCAAAGCCACTGCCAACCGCAGTTGCTAGTTCTGGCGCAATAGGTATCAATAATAACCATAAAATCATTTACCTTCAGTTGTTACGGCGGTCTGTCGATTTCCTTTGAGGAATATGACCGGTTTTTCGTCTAAATTCAGAAAAGCTGAAATTGATACTTAATTAGGAGTTTTCAACCTTTCTTTTTCATTTACCTCTTTCAGGATCCTTGATCGATTGCATTATTCACTCCCGCTATTAATCGCTATTCGCGATTAGTGACGTCTACTATAGTGTTTTAACCAATATCAGTCTTGAGTAGTTCAGATTTGTTGAACAGACCTCCAGTTCTTTTCCTCTCATATATCAGTCGTTTTGAAGGTAAGTAAGCAAGTCTATACTTTTTGCCCAAATGTAACATTTGACCTCATCTTCTGCGTTGTTAAAATCATCAAATACTGTTGTCAACCTCTTTGATACCTCGAGGATATCTTCCTGACCTGAAAAATATACAGAAACAAAGGTTAAACACTTGAGAGTAAAATTGATATACAAGACATTTGATTGAATCCAGAAAAATATTGACCAAGGACAAAATAAAGTATTTTTTCTAGAAATACCAGTATCAACTAACCTGTAGTATCTATTGCAAATAAACTTCCTCCGTCACCTCGTTTTCTTATAAATCCAGTGTTATTTCCTAAAATCCTAATGAATTCTATTTTGTTATCTATGGTGAAGGCATTTATTTCATCGTTTTCAACGAATTTTTTTGGTCGCCTATATTTTATCAGGTCGGCATGTTTGCCAACATTGCCTTCTCCGTTGCTGTATTTTATTGATTTGCCTAACTGACTGATTGTTGAAACTGGATTTCTCCGTCTGTCTTTCCATCAGTTGTTTCTTTATCAGAGGTACTTGGTACTTCTTTTTCACCCTTATCTCCTTGTCCTTTAGATTCTTGATCGTATTTTCTTCTATCGGTTTGCATGTTGTATTACCTACGACCATTATACCACTGTGTATGCCTGGTATCCTACAAGTATTCCAGTGTAAGCGTTTATTTGGTGGAGGTCTAGTAGCATTGCCGAGTTAACCGACACCATAATGTTGGTAGTAATGTCCCCGGGGAGCACTCTCCCAATTGTAATTTTGATGGTATTCATTACCTGAAATTAGAAAGACAACTAAAGATAGGCCTGATGTTTACAACTTGTACGGAATTCTTTGTGTATGGTTGAATATTTAATAAACGTTATCAATTCAGATGGAATTTACTTACATGTAACACTATGCTTTTTTCGGTATCGCATAGTATATATTTTGTACATTGTACCACTAAATCCACTATAAAGAAATATTGTTTTAAAAAAAAACATTTGTGTTCTAACAGAACTATCAATATTTCCTCTAAAATCGTCAAATTTTTTTTGAAAGGGAAACTGGCCATAGTAGTTATAGTTGACTCTCACTACATAATTTGTGAACGTTAATTTGTGCATTAATTCAATATTTTTTTTTATTTTTTTATTTCTCATATATATAAGATCTCTATTATTATGTCTATATACTGTATATTATTATATTATGTCTTGAAAACTATTTTCATGACCTTTATTTGTTGTCATCCATGTAATTGATTATTGTTTTATTCTGTGTTTTGGTTGTATTGTCTATAAGGGGGAGAATGGAAGACAGGCCTATCGTTGGGTACTCAGGATCTTATCTTGATGCGCATCGGTAATGTATGGCCTAATTTTCTACCATTTTGTAATAAAGATATTATTATCATTATAAATATAAAAAATTCAAAGTAATTCCGCACAATAGTCTTTGAGTGGAATCTTTATGTGGATGCTGACAACAAGTTAACCTGTACACAAAACAAATGATCATTACTGAGATCTTGAGCAATTTGATGATGTACTAAAATGCCTTCAAGTTATGCATTTCAAAAAACTCTTGACTAATGTGTGTGATTTTTTTTTTTTTTGTTTTTTGATAAAAGGGGGCCCTACTTCAGCTGAATCATGACAAATTTTAGATAGCTATTAGGACAGAATACGACTGGCTGTGGGTGTTTTAAATCTATTTATATACCTTGCAGCTGCAAAACCCAGGTATTTTTGGAAAGATAAATATTTGTGTAGTTCAGTCATACAATCATTTTCTCCCAACACCATTTATGTCACGTCCCTGATTCCATCACATTTTTTTTTAACGAAACTGATCTCGGATCGGCCATTTATAACTGCATGCACAGCCAAAAGTTCAAGGTCACTGAGTAACGTGACACTTTCAAAACGAAATATGTTAGAAAAACGCATCTTCGGAGATGTGGAAAATATTCCCACGTATCAGGGCAAATTCTTGCAGACTCTACTCCAACATTCAAAATATCCACCAGTTGTTGGTGTGCTAGATTTGTTATGGTGGCTAAGTTTAGCCTTGGGTTGGTTCAATGGAAAACGTAGTTGACAATAAAGAGAACTGTATTTTTATAAACAAACTTTTTCTACATAATAATTTTCACTGTGACAATCTTGACTATTCAAGGGAGATAAATATAAGGGAAGATAATTGTCCATGCCTCAGACAAAAATAATGCAATTCGCTGACAGTTGGAATAGGGGCAGATGCTTAGGACTAGACAACTTCGTGGCACATTTTTGATTAATTGTCGGAGAACTGTACATGTTCAATATTAAATTTGAAAGTGATAGAAATAGATAAAGAAATGTAGTATATTTGAAGGGATTATGCGATTTCCGTACATTTCTAGTAGTTCTGAAGACTATTTACATAATTATTTACTGTATAATTTACGGTATATTCAAGCCCCAAATCAACTCCGGAAAATGGCAAACTATGGCCTTTCATATTGATCCCATGATAGCCTATCAGTGTGTAATTGATTTTAGCATTTTCTATTCAACATAATAAGCATCGATACAACGTTTAATGGATAGCATCACACATAATACAGGAGCAAAAAATGTTCCATATAAATGAATCGGAGCGCAGTTTGTGTAGGCATATCATTCAGTCTATAAAAAAAATTGCAGTTACGACTTCCTTTATGAAACTGTGATCAGCCATAATAAGACAGGTACTTGAACTCCGATCGGCTTAACTATATCAAGTGTTTATCAAATAAATGAAGCCTGTTACTATTATAGTAGTCTTTCAGATTGATAACACGTCAAGAAGCTTTGAAGGAAGGTGGCTGTGCCACTATTCTGACAAATTCCCTCATTGCACACTGCATGCTTGACTCTATAGCTATATGACAAACAAATAAGGTTGGCTCCAGTGCAGAGCTTATGTAAAGCAATAAAAAATGCTAGGGGATGCTACGAAGTCTTCAAAATTGCACATTTATCTGAGAAAAAAATCTGTATAGAGTGAAGAAGTGAGGTAGGACTCGGCTATTTAAGACGTACAGCGTTATCCAGTGTGTAACGAGGAAAGCTTTATAAGGTTAACAACATTAGCCTACTCTATTTGTCGAAAAAGCAAGACATATAGAATGTTATGTTAGTTATGTGGCGTAACACGCAAATATACAATCACTGTCAGCCAGTACAAATCACTAATCTTAATAGGACATTAATAGATTTATACCCCGTATACACCTCGTTATACATATTCTTAAATACCGGATTAACCTACTAATCTAATCCTTACAATAGACGAGAGCTAAGAATGACTGATTATGAATATAAGGGCTAATAAATAGCCTACTAGTGTAATGATTGCACTTTTCTTTTTTTACTGTATACAGTAAATGAATTACAGTTTTATGTATTTCAGGACAGACAAATTCTATCTTATTGTTCTACTCTAGCTCTCGGGGGTGGGGGGAAGCTTTATACGCTCACGTGAAAATTTGAATGTATTTTGTCGCCCCTGAAATGGAGTTGTAAGTCCTACCTTTCTTTACCCATTTGATTTAATGAAGACGTACAACGCCATGCAGTGTGCAATGACAGAAATTTTGCAAGGACAGCTGAAAAATACAAATTTTTGTCTCTTCCTGCCTTAGACACAGTGCCTCGGTTTATGATTATGTCCAATCCGAACAGCCCCTTTTCGTCGCCCTCGATTGGCCATCAGCAACCAAAGTTTTCATTCGTTTAAAAACTACAGTGATAAAATGTTACAAGCCAAGATCACAAGACAGTCGTTCTAATGTTTGACTGATTAGAACCAGAATATTAACACTGAGCTATCATTAGTTTAAAATCACACTATCCAACAATAGAATGTTAGTAATCATTACCGGTATTAAATTCAATCTGAGTGTCAATAATTGGTGATAATTGGTCTGATCATTCGGCACATTCTGAACCTTAGAGTCACGGTTTGTTCGGAATTACTTGTATCTAAAAAAAGAAAAATCAGTAATTTTCGGGAAAAAAATTTGAGATTAGGGAATTGAGATATAGGGAGCTGTTCGATATCAGGACTGTTTGTTTGCTGCCAAAAATATGAAAGTCAAAGGCTTTTAGTTTGTAAGTTATGAGCTAAAATGTTGCTCGAGGCTTCACAACTTTGTGAAAGTCAAAATTTGTACCCTCGTTTCTGAAAAGTCATGGTTGCCTCGATCAACAAGGTTACAGCTTGGGTTCTAATAAGTTGTAATCTCAATCAACCAGACTGAAATGAAATAGTTTTCACGGAGGTTGTTTTCTTTGCCACACGCATCAACAAAAATTGAATAAACCCGACGCCTACTTCTGTATAATAATATTTGTGGACGATTCTGTCGAGGCTTCTGCCGTAACCCTCTGGTGTTCATTGGTATCCTTGGGGACAACTGGTACCTCAGTTCCCTAGAATCGAGAACCTATTATGTATTTGGAATAAGATAACGTACATTTGTATGTTAAACAATTATTATTTTAAAAATCTATCTCTATAGAGGAATACATATCTAAATATATGATTTACCGGCTTATAGAAGTTAACGTACAAACGTTTTTCTTTATTGAACTGCAGTAGAACCAGAGGTCGGATTCTAATTCTGAAAAGGGATACTGATAGCTCGAAATTATGTGAACAAGTGAATATTTAGACTACTACATCCATGTAGCCGTATATACCTGGCGAATATAGGAATTTTCTACATTAAGGAAACGACGGTCTCATTGACGTCAGAGTATTTGTCAAAATTAATACATCTGAGGCATATTATATGTTTATTGTCTTTTTATAGAAAAATGTCATTCATCTATCAGGGACATGTCATAAGCAATACCGGTATCATTGTTGAGAAAAGTTATAACAGCGCTGTTTCCTGTTCAACATCAACCGAAACATCTACCACTTCTCCAGCCTCGGATAGCTATTTTGACAGTTGTCGACTGGTGTAGGGACAACAAAACTAGAACCTGTTTTGAGTAATCTAAACAACATCATATTACAATTTCGTAGGTTTTCCCCTCAAACCCAAATACATTTGGAAAGATGGATGTTTTTATAGTTCAATCTGATCATCATTAGTCCCCCCTTACACCATTTATGCCACGTCTGCCATTCCATCATTTTTTTCTTATCTCTGGTCGGCCATTTATGATTGCGTGCACAACCAAAAGTTCAAGGGTCACAGAGTCACGTGATACTAAAAAAAAACAAAAATTATGGTGATGCCCAACACAAATTTGTAGACATCCTGATTAACGATGAGGTAATTTAATATTATGTTAGTAAAAACGGATCTTTGGAGTTGTGGTAAATCGCCATAAATAGGACCTGCCTTTTTCTGACTCCAGTGGACAACAGTAGAAATAGGCTGGAATAGAGGCAGATGTTTCGGACTAAGTGCTTTCATGTAAATATTTCATTAATATTTTAAAAATGTTTTTAAGTTAAAAATTATATAAATAATATTTGTTAATAATACACTTTATACATATTTTTGAATTGTACATTTCATAAATATTTTTTCTGAATGAAAAACTAATAACGATCAGAATAGCAAATCGAAAC